TGTAGGGTAGACTATATGCTGCTTGAGTCTCTGCCTCCCTCTCGCGACGAGTCTTCCCTACAAACAGACGCCGCGTGGAGAGCTCTGGCTCTCCCTGGTTCGACCATTAGGCGAGTATTCATTTAGTTACTCTATCCTTGTTTTGATGGTTAATATCCCGTATAAGATAACAATGCAAATTTTGAATTCTTCCATAGCTCGAGGAAATTGCCATTCCCATCCTCGCAGCAGCGACCATCTCGCCAACACTTTCGTCTTGACATACCGTTTACTACTGATATTGACTCACTGTCTTTCAAGATAAGGAGTTGAAGTCAGAAAAAGAGCAGTTTTATCCCGTGAAATTCATCATCTGAACGAACGCCTTTCGGAGTCATTATCACTGTCGATAAAACATTCTACTGTCGCGATGGTGCTATTTGTCAAGACCACGTTACTGAGAGCTGTTAGGGGTCTCACACACATCCCTCTGACCTTTAAGCAACCATGTGCTCTTTCCCTCTGGGTTCACACCAGACTGGCTCCACACCTAGAGCGAATCTAGTCAATCTAACCTTACTCATGGGGGCTTTTAAGCCTTTGATACCCAACCTCAATTATGCGCGTTCTATAATCCGTGTCACGGGTGCACCCGTTCCATGTGGACTTGTTGAATGACAGAAACTATAGGGTGCTTTTCCGAGTTTTTCATACTATATTTTCTCGTATATTTGTGTAGAAAATCAGATTGGGTTCGGGTTGTTCGATCAAGACTGCGATATTCAAGCGGGCGAAGATAACGTTGTGTCGGCATGAGCATAGTCATGGAGATTGCTCCATTTTCGGCCAAGATTGTAAATTCATGACTGCAATTGAACCTTGTTTCAAAATGGACGAGCAGGTACTACAGTAGTAACAGTACCAATATGGCATGGCACCCGCCTTTGGATAGTTGGTACAACCAGCATTGGTATTGCCACGCCATTCGACAAGCTGCGTTCATTCACTTGCGCCAAATGACTTCGCAAGACGAGACCACTTCTATGATTGGCCCTCTTACGCGAACACGCTAACCAAACAGCCAGGGCTATCTTTATAACGTACAACGCGTCCCAAAAGGTACGTACGGATCGTACCCAAAAAAAAAGTACCAAAAAACAAGACAGCAAAACTCTAGCAGGCGCGATGGGACTGGTGCTTATGGCGCTAGAGAAATCCACCTTTGTGGGCAGTGGGTTTTTTCCGCGGAACAGCTCCGTGTGCTTATCGCTTTCGGGAATCACATTACACACTCGACTGACCTGACCAGGCGTACAGTATCAGGTTTTGTGATGGTCGGACGTCTTATTTGAAGATATAATTGCAATTTTTGGAATTATGGGGCTTAATGTGGTCTAAGGGAGGGGGTGAATTGGCGGGGGAGCTTCGGGACTTCGTTGGAAGTCGGCGGCCTTTGCAGTGGATATCAGATGGAGAATCTGGAGTTTGTTGAACTATGCTTGATGCCGATTTGCGAATTCTTTGCTGGTAGTTCAGAATAGAGGGACATCGATGCGCATCATTCAAGTCCAATTTTGTTTTTCTGCGCCAGAGGTATCAATATTAATTATCTTCTTGACTATCTTGCAATGCTCAAGGAGACGCACCACGTTACTATGTAGCTCGGGTTTCGCTGGCGCAATGCCAGGGTCTTGGGGATCTCACAGAAAGCATCTACCATTTGCGGCAAGGCGAAATGCCAACCTGATTCAGACACCATGGCTCGTCTAAGGACCTGTACAACACACTTATTTGGGTCTTTTCGTTGATCCTGGAAAGTATAACATAGTTGTGGCTTGAAACGAAGACCAACGCTCAAGACGTAGCTCGTCCCAAATTTGGGTTATAGTATGAATGTGCCGACCGAAAACTGCAACAAGTTTTTGTTGTTTTTTACGCGGATCTATCTGAGATTGGGGAGTGAGATATGTTGGAAGGCCGATCATGAAAGCAGGTACCGGTATCCAAGTTATATTTGCCATTATCACCTCACCTGTTTTTGAATGGCCTACTGAATGAAAATTCTCAAATCCTAGTACCACTCTTTACTTTGGGTACTGGCAACATCAAGTCAACCTCTATAATTTCTTGGGACATATATCAAAAGCAAGCAACTCAAAGAGTCTCAACAGGCCTACAGGTCTGTATCATTCTAGCGTGAGCCATCTAGGTTAAAGTCACCCACCTACCATGAAGCAAGGTTCTAGTAAAACATCCTTTTCCTTCTCTTCTCTTCTACTTAACCCATTCGTAATTTCGCATCCAATGCCAAACTTCTTCTTGAACTTTGTCCCGCATATATACACGTATCGCTAAGCGAGTGAAAAGAAACGTCTCTTACGATCCAAAGCAAATTGTGATACTGTCCTTAACTTTGAAAGTATCCTTATTCTCGTTCAATTCACTCACCTGCCCTAAGCACTATACGAAGTACCCCTGTCAAAAAGAATGGAGCTCACGACGTTTGTTAGAACTGCCTGCCATCCGCACTTATGCTCGCCAAATCAGTCTGGACCGCCTCGCCAACTCAACCCTAAACACAAACTTGTCAGGAAATGCACTTCTCCGTCAAATGCTTACATCGTACTTCAATGGTCGCCCGGTCCCCATGATACGCTAGATCTTGCTAATGTGTCTTTCTTAGGCTCTGTTTACTCAGAATATTATACCTCAATATCCAGTAGAGACACGCTAATACATGTACCTTAGGTCTTTAATCCACACTTAGATCTACAATACTCGAGGCTCAAGCGATGACTCTGCTTCAGGCTACGTACGCTGTAGCTACAGGCTCTTATACTCTCTATTAGGGCTCTAAAACCCTAGTACTTTATAGTACACGTATATAAGCTAGTACATTCGACAGAGAATTGTTACTTTAGTCTCTAATACTTAAGAATAAAAATGGAATAAAAATAATTTTCTTATATTAGAGCTGTACTAGTATAGGAACAGCCTATACAAGAATAATAGGGTCTAGGAAGTGCTACGAAGTACGTTTTGTGTACGTTTTGTATACGTTTTGTGTCCGCTTTGGGACGATGTTGAGGACGAAAAACACCTCTGGAGGAGTTTTTCACTTTTACTACCAAAGCGATATTACAGGGCAACATTGTGTAGATCAAAAATATAATCTACGTGTCTATACGTGGACGGATTTCAGAAGTGTCGGAGCATAGCTGAATAGGGGATAGTTAGTGCTAAGCACACCTAATCAGGATGATATTAAGGTCTAACATTCTAAGTAAACAGAGCCTTAGGATTGAGCAAATGGTCGAATCTCCTCTGCTCAGACTTAACATATAACCTGCCCCTCAGGTCGAAAGTGAAGATTGACTATAAGCGATAAGAATCTCCGCCCGACTGAACCTGCTGGTGGGGGTCCCATCCTCCCGGTTGAAGATGAAGATGTAATCATGGTCGACAACAGCCTTCACCGACTGAACCTTTTCTGGAAAATCCCGTCTCTCCCGTCAGCAACATTCGCCCGCCTGAAGACAGGATCCGAACTTTGCTTTGTTGTCGATTGCAAATCTACTGTTGATGATGCATATACTGTTAATTTATGCTCTTACTCTTAACTCCCAAGTTAAAGTAGAAAGATTTTCCCGATCAGCCAGAGGAAGAAGTTAGAGCCCGTCTACTATCGAACGGAGCAGAGCTATGCATTTTCGACTCGACATCACCGTTTTGCAACCAAGAGCCTGCTGAGTTTGTGATGCCATCAACTAGCGTGGTCTAGCCTTAGTTGTTCTCCCGAGGTGTGTTATAAATTGGACAAGTATCGCATTGAAGCGATGCATTCTCACTTCACTCTAGATAGCTGTAACGGGAGAGAAGAGGCTCGTCATCACTCTATATCCACCTCAAGACTCCCTATGGTAGAGATCTCAATTCAGCAGACTTTATTCTCTTAACCACGTGAGGTAAGAGAAGTTCAACAATTTCAGGTTATCCACAGCCAAGTAAGCCTACTAGTAGAATGACAGCAAACAACTCCCCTTCAGAGCCTACACACAACTATAAACCCAAATCCATCCAACTTAACAAAACTTCCCACAAAATCATCAAATCCACTTTAAGCACACATTCAGATCACCCCACCCCATTCCCAGCAATCTCTTTTTAGGTCTTCTATTACCGAACAACTTCCTATACCCTACCGTGGAATCATCGAGAAGATCCAAGGAAGTTTTGGTCAAAAGGTTGCCGAGGCACACGCACTAATGCATAGGTGCTAAGCGAGAGGGAACAGAGTCCTTCTTGGAATCCATCCAAGTAGATAAACCTACTTCCTGTCCTCCCACGGAATCACCCAGAAGCCCAAAGATGAACTGGTGAAAGATTTTAACTGCCGAGGCACACATCTTAATGTGCAACCGTAAGCAAGAAGTAACCAACACCCTTCCCGCGTCTCTGCAGAAGGAGCTTCAAGAATTGAAGGCTGGAATGCAGCGAAAGGCGGAGGAGGAGGTTCCTGTGGCTGACGAGGAGTTATCTCATTTCCTATCAAAAGCTTTTCACCACTTTTCAACTCGTCATCTAGAAGTTGCAAAAGGTCCGGACTTTGTCATTACCATAGAGGGTTTGTTGTCAATTATAGCTCTACCGTCACTAGCAGTGTCACTTTTTACAAATTCCCGATACCGGTACCCGTCTTCCTGCCTCATAGACCGCCGGACTGCTTGAGTCTGTCTTGAGTCAATGGGGGTTTTCTATTTTGAGTGCTGGTGCAAGGTTAGGTGTGGGCTGTTAGGGATAGGATTGGGGGAAGTCCCTACCCACCCGTGGAGTAATACTATGGCTTAGTTGAAGGAGTGCTGGGGTGTATTTATACTTCTACATTTTTTTTTTGATGAATGATTTGTTCCCTTGGTAAAATGTAGGAGCTCCCACTTACTGTACCAGTTATCCCAAATTCAGCCCATGAGGCAAGTAGTGTGACACACACTTCATCTTTCCTCACGTCTTTCATCTTGTCTCTTTCTCAATTTTGATATTGAAATCCACTTTTTTACCAACGATACCAGATCGCATGAATTATCCATCCTAATCCTTACCAAAAATTTACCATCAAATATCCAACCCTTTCCACAACCTAACACTCAAACCCCTTCCTCAAATTCTCATACTTGGAATGGGGATACTCCACACAATTCCGTCCCCGTTCAAGATGTCCCAACTCCCCCACAACCGTCCCAATCAAACTCTCACCACCACTCTTATCCGCACTACTCTCCCACCACATCGCCCCACCAAGTCCCTCCTTCTTAATCCACTTGGCCTTCTCCCTCGCCATCGCACAAGTATCATACGTAACAAGATGCTTCTTCCCCGCATCATAACTATACGTCGCACCCGCTTCCTCATCGTATCTCTCCTCCGCTCCAGCAAGCGGCAAGGCTTTAAAATCAAAAACGCCATTTTCCCACGAGCCCTCGCCTACGCAGCTATATGGCTTCCCCAAACCCTCAGTGTTTTGGAATGCACGACCATAAAGAGGCATCCCAAGGACGATTTTATCCCTCCTCACACCCTGATTTTTATAATGCTCAACCGCCTGCTTAGTATTAAAAGGCGTCGCAACAGGGTTCGTATTAGAAGGGAACATATTCGCCTGATGCCCCGCATTCGCGTCCCAAGATCCCGCATAATCGTAACTCATCAGGTTCCAGAAATCAAGATAGGCATCCATGCCCTTGATATCCATATTATTGTAATTCTGCGGGCCGGCTGGACAAGCGACTGACATTTCAAAATGGTGTCTGTGAGGGAGTGTGGCGCTATAGGCATCCATCGCACGACGACATTCTTGGAGTACAAGGACGAAGTGCTGGGCTTCGGTTTGGGATTTGGGGTATTCCCAGTCGATGTCTATTCCGTCAAACCCTAGGTCTTTGATGAGTGTCACCGCTGAGGCGGCGAACTTTTCACGGCCGGCGGCGGTGGATGCTGGTGCGGCGAAGTTACTGGAGTATGTCCAGCCTCCGATTGAGAGGAGGATTTTGAGGGAGCGGTTTCGTTTTTTAAGGATGTTGAGCTGTTTGAGGCAGCCGTAGAGATTGGTTCCTACGTCGTTCCAGGAGTCGCCCTCAAAGTGGATGTCGGTGTCTGCCCAGCCATCGGTGAGATATCTTTGATTTCGTTAGTACGGTGATAATGAGGAGATTGTGGGGTTTGACTTACACTTCGCCTGAATCTGGTCTTACATTGGCAAATGCGTACAGAACGTGGGTGAGTTTGTCGGCTGGTAGCATTTGTGGGTTGAACTTTCTACCATAGATTGCCCACTGATGAATAGTTAGCCTTTGGTTTGTCATATATTGTACAACTACAACGATCAAAGTCCTCTGATGACCCTCCTCTCACAGCTCAAACACCTGAAAATGGTGACCATCATTCAAGACAACACCCACGACTCAGCCTCCCAAACTTGTGTTTCATGAGTCTCCCAACTCATATCAAAAATCCCTCAAACTGCAACTTAACAGTATAAGAGATATACAAATCAACCCCTCTCCCACATCCCCACTACCACCCCCTCCCTTATCCAGCAAACCCCAACGAAAAAAAGGGATTAAAAAAATGAGAAAAAAACACTAACATTAACAAAATAAGCCACCGCCCGATATCCATCACCACCACCCATCTTGTCGTCGAGAACGGAATGTGTAGGTGTAGGTGGACCGTAATAATAAGGGAGGAGGGGTAAGCGCTCCAAGAACTCAAATCTCCAACGAACCAGTAAAGCAACGAGCAGGAAAAACAAAGATGCAGCAAAAAGAAGGAGTCTTGATAGTTGAGCCACTTTGGATTTTTGCTTGCGAGTGTTTAGTATTTGTATCGTTTTTTAGGTTCTGTTGAATATAAGGAGGAGAGGGGTCGTCGAAAGGAGGCTTTGACGTTGGATGAGGTGGCGTGGCAATGTGGATGCCCGGTTCCATGCTTCTCAGCTCCAATCACGGGGCTGTGTTGAGGGATATCCTTGGATATGACGACGACGCTGGACAAAGGTTTGATTCACTTTGGAGTTGGAAATTGAGACAATTGGATATCAGTGAATGCGTGTATAATCTTCTTCATAAACCTATATGATTGGGCATGTTGCATATAATGTACAGTTTTCCAAATAAATCAGACATCCTTCTCTGCTCTGCATTCTTGAGCGAGAATATCGCCTTGTAACGTTGCAAAATATCAGTTCTCCGGTGATATGAAGACTTTTCAAAAAATCAGGAATTCAAGTTCGAACTCCCACCGCCATTGCATAGGCCTCTGTACTATACGCGTTAAAGCGGGCTGAGAGACCCTGAGGCTTCGACCCCCTCGACTTGGTCAGTTCCAACCTCTTAAGAAGGGAGTGATCAACTCCTCCAAGGAATTGGCCGCGAATCTGGTGATAGTCGTTTTCAGTAGACTAAAGAATATTGCCGGCAAATTCCGACTTGATCAACCGTATCGTGGACCCCAAGAAGCGGCTCCTGGAAGAAATGGGTTGTGAGATTTTGAGCATGTCTTTTATCTCAACACAAGATTTCATCCATCCTTTATACCAATGTTCTTTCCGTGACTTTCTGTTGGAGTCGATTTAATATCCTTAGAGGCAACTCCAGGAGCGGGTAGCATTTTACGGTATCCCTCATCTCTTGGATCTAACAAGCCTTGCCCTAAGGGATCTCTCTGCTTGAGAAAATTAGTGATTCTCTCTTCTCGATTTCCTACGCTAGCTGTTTCTCTTCGTCGACGCATTAGGTCCTTGGAAATGGTATTGTGCAGCCCGTCTCGCTGTTCCAGGAAGTTGATGGAAAAGTTTTCCGCACGATGTGCTTGTCCTATTCCTCCAATGATCATAAATGCAACAATAAGAACGACAAAGGTTCCATTCGAAACGAATCGTGGTTCCTGAGGACCTTCAGCATTGCGAGCATACCACCGTTCCCAGTCTTCCCATGTAGCATTATTGCTAGGACCATTTGGGTCACTCCCCCAACCTCTACCACGCGCATCTCCCCAAGAACTTGCAGTACTTCGGTCAACGCCTGGCATTCCATTCCATCCCGCACCATAGCGGTCGTATGCCCCTCGTTTGACGGGATCGGAGAGCAGATCATTGGCGGCTACAACAAGTCGATAGCGTTCTAGTTTCGTAGCATATGGGAGCTCGTTGCGTGAAGTACCATGGTCATGGCGATCAGGGTGGTATATTTTGACAAGCTCATAGAATCTCTGCTTGGAATACGGTGATCCTTTCTTTTGATTGAAAATCTGGTAAGGAGTTGGTACAGCATTTGCGGAGGTAACTTCAGGCCAGCGAAGATTTCCGTGGTTGTGACTACTGTAGCCGTCGGACACCATGGCATACGTACGGCATGGTGGTCGGTGGAGAGGTTTGTAGACCGAGCTACGATGCGAAGATGGTGACGTCGTTGAGGCTTTTATTGAGGCTTGGAGGGACTGTAGACAGTTGTATGGCAGGAGATATGATTGCTTAAACATGATGACCCATTCGCCAGTATACACTGGACGGTAGACGCAGCAATCATTTCACGAGGAGTTGGTACCTATGGAGGTCGAAGAGTAGAAAAGTGAGCAAGTATAAAGAGAGCGGGGTGTTTAGCCTGGAACTCTGTTTGTATTGGGCCGGGGATCGGTTCATGGGGTGCAGGTGCAGGTATGAAAGCCTTGGCATTGAGCAAGTTCTTATCGATAAGAGCTCCCCCAGAGTAAGAGGGTCAGCCCGGCCCCAGCCCCGACCCTCAGAGGACTCGGTCGATTGGGCGGTTAAGGTTGAAGCAACCTCCAACATCCAGCCCTAAACAGAAGTGATTTCTTCATTTTCGACACTGATGAACCGCGTACATTAGCTTCTTCCCTTATCCTTTGCGCCGGAGACTCAGATGGGAGTCGATCTACCAAAACCCTCACTCTCACCATGAAGTGGCTCCAATCCAAAGGACGTCGGCTTGGACTCCTCTTTCCCCAAAACCCAAACCGATCGGTCCTAAAGAAGCAACCGCCAGCCACAGGCCTAGGTGATCACCACAAATTCGATGGTGCTACGGGTCAGATCTACTTGGAATCGACTGCCGCTATTCAAACTTCCGACGACTCCAATTGGACGCGACAAACTGAACTCGTTGTTGGTCCTGAATATCGCAATAGTGGAGATGCTCATAGCTTCGTCTCAACTACAGATCACAATGAATTAGATCTTGGAGCGTACCACCATCATCTTGACGGACTGAAGAATACTCGAATTAGAGGGGCGAAAGGAGCTCGATCTTTACAAGACTCAGCAATTGAGTGCATTCTTCACAACATTTCCGATGTCACCTATGAGGGCATTTCCTGTCTACCACTTTCTCTTGTCCGACAACTCTGGCACGCCGTTAGCAAAAGGTATGTCATTTATGGTTTTCGGTGGATAAAATTTTGAACTTCAAAATTATCATCTAATTCGAGATTATATCGCTAACTTATCTGTTACAGATGTCTTGTATCCTTCGATACCTGGCTAATGTTCTCCAAACTTCTCCGAAAAGAGGATGGAGCAACTCTGAGCCTGCATAGGTACCGTCAAGCCATTGAGAAACCACTATCCAGTCTTCATGTATATACCACCCCGCTCACTTCAACTTCTTTCGAATTCATCGCTTCGTTGAGTATCACTTCCTCCGTCGATCTTCCAAACCTTGTCAAAATATCCAAGATTGTCAATCTAGGTGTACTTGAGATTATCAACGATACTACTAAAGACCTTCTACTTCCCGTCAGCGACCGTCTTCTTCGGGCTTGGCATATGTCTACTCTGAACGATGGAACCTTCCGAGTCCTCAGAATTATGAGACTTTGGAATCACAAAGAACTGACCAATAAATCTCTTGCATTTATCAATAGTTTCCCCGTGCTAGCTATTTATGACGTTCGAGGTTGCCCTTTTGAGGGTACAAAGATTGACACCAAAAACCTAGGATGGAGATCCAACGTGGAACCAAATGTCCTTGACCTGCTGGAAGCTGCTTGTGTCGAAAGAACAATGATCATGCGAGAGTCTATGGGTGTTGAAAGTAAGCCTGTTCGCAGAGCTAGTGCTCGTCAGTTACGAGACGATGCAACTACAAAAAAGATGCCCCGTGCTGAAACTCAAGCATTTCTGACAAGAGAAGAGACATGTGTTCGAGGATCACCCATTGCGGATTACGATAAAATGCAACGAAAGGTCAATTCGGTCATCAAGAGAGAGAAAGCCGTCATTGGACACGACATGGTTTGGATGTTTCTAGATAACAGTATTCATTCCAAGACTCGAGCACTGGAGACATGGGAATTTACCACATACACCTCATTCGCTAGGATTGGAGAGTTGAGGAATGACACTGATTTGGCGAGATCAGGAGTTGACATTGGAGATGATGCCATTCTTGTTGGCAACGATTTCATCCCACCGGTTCCTTTGGTGTCCTTACGGCTTGGTCCTATCCCACTTGAGCTTCAGGTCAATAAGAATCTACACAAGCCTTTCTATACTAGTGTGTATTCGGAAGAGTTTAATGAGCCAACATTCAAGTATGATCCAAAGGAGAAGCATGATACACCAAGTTCCCGGACCCTCTCTTTTATTAGAATCAAACTCTCACTGCCTGTTCAGAAGAAGCTCGAAGTCACCTCTTCTGAAAAGTCCCAATCGGTCGTTTGTGCGAACGTGGTTCCAATCGCATCTGATACAGCGTCACCATCGTCTTTGCCCAGTCCCGCTAAACGAAGAAGAACCAGTATCATGAAGAACAAGAAGAAGAATCTCGGTGATATGCTCAATTCGTTTCGCTAATTCTTTCTCACTTCCAGGGTGGTTACGGAAGGTCATGCATTGGGTGGTCCTGGGATGTGGGCTATTTCAAAGAATCGGAGTTTTTTTTCGGAGGAATATGGCGTTTGTTGGTTACGATTTGTTTAAGATACCCTGTGTTGAGTACTGCGAAGATGCAAAGCAGAATGGATCATGAGATTGCATGCATATTTTTCCATTTCCTTCTTTTTTTTCCGTTGCTACCTGTATGTAAAGATAGCTTCTGGTGGTTGTGCATGAGTGCTCATAAAGTCATAGACTCGAAGAAATGAAGAAATGAATACCTTTCCAATTGACATACGCGCAAAACCAACGATTCATCAGAGAAGTGGGTCGTTCGTATATATACAGTACTCTCCACGTACTCCAATCATTTCTCCTTCCGCCTCGTATACAGTAGAGTATTTTCTACCGTCCTCAGACCGCGAATAGAACACCGTCCCCAGTTTTACATTGTAAGATTACTCACGAGTTATCTCCCCTGATGGATCATGGATCATGGGTACTAAGAACCGTTTCTGCTGTTGTCTGAGAGGTGGGTTTTATAACGAAATAGAATGGAATGGAATGACACAAGGAAGTGTATGGAATATTGTAATGATGTATGAGGAGGAGGTAGTTGTGTTTCTAGTGGAAATATACGGTGCCGTACAGTAGCTAGCATAATGTCACACCGGTAAGAAGGTCTTGGATTCCTTACAGTACAAGTATTTGAGTATGAATATCACTACGTCACTGTATTGGTTGTACAGAAACGTGAAAATGTGAAAATGTAAGATAAGTTATAATACTAAATGGATTGGGTTTTCAGTTTTTAATCAGATTATTAGCTGACTTGACTCAATAGGTTGTACTTATTTCCTTATCTTGGTTCCAGAGCTACCTAGTGATTGTTATAACAGGATATTCGCGTATCAGCTTCAAGTATCGTTAAGCATCGTCAAGTATTGTAAAATATCATCAAATCTTTCATAATCCCAGATTTCGATTAGAAAACCTACAGTAACCTAACGCGAAATTTCACTTTGGGTCACTTCGGAGAATAATACGGTAGTGGGTATTAGAGGGTAGTAGGTACTCGAGTACTCGTACTCGTAAGCCAACATGAATAACAGATTATTTCGCTGAGACTAGTAGAAAGAATTCTATTACATGAAAGGGGTTAGATACTCGAGTATATTGATTAGCTAGAATCTTTCAGGATTTTACTTCCGGAAGTGTTGGGAATCATATAGTATATAATACTCTATTTAAGGGTACTATACGAATAAGAAAGGCGGTCATTACTACATAACTCTATACACACCCAAGTTACAACAATATTATCCCAAAGACCTCACACAACTAAACCAGTTTTTAAGTAACAGTTTAGAATATTGCCATTTCTTACTTCTCATTAACCTAGGCGAAATGGGACAATGGAGTTACTTGTGCTAGACTTTTGGCATAATGACTTTTTATGGCGTGTACAGAACAGAGTACTGACCGGGTTTCTTACTCGAGTACAAGTAGGTAGATGGTTTTGATGAGGTGGAGAATAGGTGGGATTGTTTTAGTTGTGAGAAAATGGATGACCAGGATGAGGGAATTGTTGGGTTCTTTTGGGGTTCTGGGGGTGTTGAGGTGGGTGTGTAGTTGGAGATGAAGTGAGGTTAGGCCAGGTGGTTGTGGCACAGGCTTACACATTTTGTATAGAATTTGTAATTGAAATGGAGTGGCAAGGTACGGGGCGATTATTTGCAAAATTCACGTTCTTTTCAATTCTCTTGCCACAATGAAACTCATGATTATCCTGAGATACGCAAGAATTCACCAGTACACATGCAAAACGAGGCCAGATTATCTTTGTAGTGGTGGCATAGTTTGCATTTCATCGTAGATACATCATAGCTAATCCGATGCTAACCATTCATCCCACCATGATCACTTCAAGATTCCTCCGAGAACATTTATTTGGACTCATCAAAGATGTAGGTCAAGTGGCAACGACCACAGTATTGACGGTCGTGCATAGCAGCCATGAAGACACCGGCACCACACTGGAAATATTTAGCAATGTCCCGCCATGAACTTCACAAGTAGATCTGAACTTACGTCTGGAGTTGGGCACTCTCTGCGGAGACGCTCAATCTTTCCGTCACCGTCGACCTTGTAGTACTTGAGAACTGCCAACTTGGTCTTCTTGCGCTTGTGCTTGATCTTCTTTGGGGTGGTGTAGACCTTCTTCTTGCGCTTCTTGGCTCCTCCACGGAGACGGAGCACGAGATGGAGGGTCGACTCCTTTTGGATGTTGTAGTCGCTGAGGGTACGGCCGTCTTCGAGTTGCTTTCCGGCGAAGATCAAGCGCTGTTGGTCTGGTGGGATTCCCTCCTTGTCCTGGATCTTGGATTTGACATTGTCGATTGTGTCAGAAGACTCAACCTCTAGAAAAAATCGTCAGCTCGTGGAATTCATCGTAAAGAAGCAAGAAAGAATCCCGAACCCAACGTGATCGTCTTCCCTGTCAAAGTTTTGACGAAGATCTGCATGATGACAGCCTAGACAATTGATGTCTTCCTAAGCTGAGATGTTGTCGTTGTGTCGATTGTCTTGAAGTTCAAAAGTTTGAAAATTGTAGGTGGGATACCTATGCGTGCCGAGCCGGGAGGCGTGCCAAGGCCCGGCTAGTGTTAGCGCGATTCTTAGGGTTTTCGCTCCCACACTGGAGAATCTCAAATCAATCCAAGCTCTTCCGATCCCATCGACAATCAGAAAACGACAACAATACCGCAATCATGGTCAAGAAGAGAGCTTCCAACGGTCGTAACAAGAAGGGACGTGGTCATGTCAAGCCGATCAGATGCTCCAACTGCTCTCGGTGCACACCCAAGGACAAGGCAATAAAGAGATTTACCATCCGTAACATGGTCGAGTCTGCTGCTATTCGTACGTATCTTTACCCGACACCTCGAACGAATCTCCAACAAGCATCTGCCGACACTTGGGATGCCTTAACCACATGGCAGGCGTCGTGGGAAACTTGGCCAAGAACAATTGCTAACGTTTTTGCCCCAGGTGATATCTCGGACGCATCTGTATTCCCAGAATACACCGTTCCCAAGATGTACCTCAAGCTGCAGTACTGTGTCTCTTGCGCCATTCATGGCAAGATTGTTCGGTACGTTCAAGCACTCGAGATGAAACCTTGGTTGAACTTCTGTCCTTGGATCATAAGCAAGGACCCTCCACTTCTAGATACAGAAGGGCTAACAATTTTTCCTCATAGTGTCCGATCCCGCGAAGGTCGCCGCAACCGCGCACCACCTCCTCGTGTTAGATACAACAAGGACGGAAAGAAGGTCAACCCAAACCAGGCTGCTGCCAAGACCACTCAGGCATAGAGGATCATAACGATTTTATGGGCGTCATGGAAACTGGGATTCACGTCACGGAATTGGGATGATTTTACGAAGTTAGCATCGAATACACAGAGCTTGCTCCGTCACGAACAAATTGCGACGACTACGTTAGTTATGATTTCGAAAGTGAACATCTTCGGAAATGAATTGTGTCTGGTATACTTTCTTCTTTACGTCATCCTTTTCTCTTTCTGTTACCTCACATACTGCCCGTCTAGCGCTGTTACTCCAAGCTATTACGGTTCCTGAAGATGAGGGAGATTACCACTACATCGCTGCTGAGTCCGTCATTCGCAAAATACATTAGGGCTCAGTATGGGGTGTAGAGACGGTGGGATGTTCTTGAGAATAAACTCGTGCGATTCCTCAACTTCGCTCGGGTGGTTGTAGCTCCCTACATACCAAATACTTGAATTTCTTTTGATTGACTTGTTACTTCAAGTTTGAGTCAATCTACGCTTCCATGGTATCAATTTGAATTCGCGACGCTCTTGGGTTGCCCGCATAACTAACACCGACCCGTGAGTATGTTAGAGTTATGTTACAAGCCAGAATGCCCAAACCCATATCTTACAAAATACAAATAATTACAAAGATATTCCATCATCATATCATGTTCCTGAATAGGCAGCCGTGACGCCTCTTCCACATTCAATCCTCTGTTCCACACTGACATTTCTCCCGTTGAACTTGATCTTGTTCCTTGGTGTAATCTGAAATCTATGTTCCTCTCTCCTTCCCTTCTCTTTATCTGCTTCAACATCGAGAGGAGCAATGTAAACTGGATTGCTCACATTATTCCGCTTTCCAGTTCCAAGTTGGTAGAACTCATTTCCTCCCCACCATAATACATCTGCTCCCCAATTTGTGTCATTTTCTGAGCTCCGATTGTTTGCACCAACATGAACGACGTTATTCATTACGGCAGCTGAATGTGTTGCTCCAACTGATAAGCGTGCCAATCTTATGGGGATGACTTGATTTTTGATCTCATCATACTCGAAGAGTCCGGATAAAGCTTTGATCTTGGTGGGCGTTCCCTGAATATGAGTCCATCTTCCATTTCCAAGACCACCGAGGATTCCCTGGCCTGATGCCCAAGTATCGGCTGTGATTTTTCCTAGGCCTTTTGGGTCATCTTCTCCTTGGCCGGCTATTCTGGTGGCATCTATTGTGAAGAAACTATTTACTCCTCCGGCGGCAATGTTTGTAACTCTAGGTCGTTGATTGGTTCCTTTATATAACCTGTCAATTGGGAGGAGTGAGGGAGCATCGACAGTTGTTGATTCTGTGTCGGCGTCAAAGCCGAGTTGTCCTAGGGAGTTATCACCGAATGCAAAAACACGACCTTGTTTGTCGAGAGCGAGAGAGTGAAAGTCTCCCGTTGCAATCTTGTCAATCTCAAAACCTCTGAGCGTGCTAACTTCATGTGTTTGGTCGTATGGGCCCTTGGGGCGTGTAGACCAAGTCAAGCCTGGAACTCCAAGTTGCCCTTTTGCAGGGAAATCTTCTGTTCCAGAAGCTGCTGAGAATAACCGTCCTTTCGAAGTCAAGACGAGACAGTGTTCAAGGCCACTTTGAACATCTTTTACTGTCTCTCCACAGGACATATTTGGAAGTGTTAGAGTTCGGTAACTAATAGCCGACCTTCCCTTCCAAAACGGAATCCAGCTATCCTCCAAAGGTTTAGGACCAGAGACTTGATCCGCTTGAACAGCTGGAACCGTATATACCGTCCCATTAGATCCCAGAGCAATAATGCGATCCCGTGAAATCGAAATTTTAACAAGATCCTTGCCTACAAGCGTAGGCATCGGATCCCTTGAATGAGTAGAAAATCCATGACCCCATTGCAACAAATCGCCATTTTCAGCGATTGCTGCTCCAAACGATTTATCGAGTTTAATATCTCGAAGTAGTTTCCCGTCAAAGAATGGAATCCGACGAGGTGTTTTGATGAATGGCTCTTCCGAATCGGGTGCTACGACGTGACCTACGTTGGAACCCCATGCGTAAACTCCCGGGTTTTCCCAGGATCTCTTGACTTGGAGATGTTGCGAGCTGATGAGGTCTCTGTTGTCTTCTCGTGTTGAACCTTTTCGACGCGGCTTTTCGAAGGTGATTTCGGCTGGTGCTGGGAGTTCTTCTGCGTTTAGTTGGCCTGGTAAGAGGGTGTAGAGACAGCCTCCTGCTATGGTAAGGGAAAGTATGAGTGCTACGCGAGTTTGCTTTGGTGATATTTGGGTGGTAACTGATGATGCTTTTGGAAAGTGAGGTGTTTTATAACATCTTCTTTGGAGTGTGTGAGTTGATTTGGTGGCGTGGTGGAGTATGTGAGAGGTTCTTTGGATGCTTCTTGGTTGTATCATTTTGGCGTTCTGGTTATTTTATTTCGTGAGATTGATCATGTACTTGAATCACGTTCAACAATACCGGATGAATGTATTCTCAAATTTTCATGTAACATTTCGTACTTTGCCTCTCCCTCCCTTCCCTTGATGACGATGGACGCCTTAGGCCTCTCTCGACCGCCGTAATCTTATCGGGGATATCCCGACGAGGTGCCGAACATGACAATTAGCAGGTGTGAATAGTTACAATATCACGGCGAAGACCAATATAGGCCCTTCGTAATCAAATTGTACACCGTGAAAGATGTATGAGGATTCTTGGTACAGTTTTGTACCGGAAACGAGTCGAAGGGATGAAGCTTCTTCTCAGAAGCATCGTCGACGAGAATCGCTGTTGAAGCAAACCAATGTGCGTGACCCCTTCCCGTTTTGTGATATCCCAGGAATGAGAAGACGCTAATATCTTTCTGAGGGAAACAACCAGGCTTCAGAACCTTCTGTTGCAATCGCCGAGTTATTTGAGGAGCCTCCAAATTCTGGCCCTCCCCAAGCTACGATTGCCAGACGAGCCAAATCTTACAGCGATTTCTATGAGATTGCTCTTGGACATCTGAAGAAAGAGCCTGAGAAGACGAAAGGATCGGAGACGGCGGAATTTTTCGATGAGAAAACGGAAAATTTATTTCTTGAAAATTGGTATGAGGATTGTGAGGATGACCTTTTGGATGCAAGTCATGAGGAATACCAGTACGGACCCCCCCCCTCTTGCTCTTATGGTTCCAGGCTAAATCATTGCAAAGGCTTTATAGAGATCAATTGGCTCTCTCAGAACGTCATCTTGAGACTCTGCTTAAAGACACGACCTCTGCTTTGGATCTACTGGCTACCTTGTCTGAGTCTTTCAAGGCTGTTGAATCAGAGACTACAGCTTTCCAGAGCCAGTGTGAGGATCTGCTAGCGGGACAGAAACGACTGAGAGATTTGGCGGATGAGGTCGGTACGGATTTGCAGTACTATGCATATCTTGAACCTCTCACCAGGCGGTTGAATGCGCCTGGGGCAGCAAGATTGATTAGGAGTGATGATTTCTTGGATATGTTGATCAATCTGAATACCTGCATTGATTTCATGGATAAGCGTGTAAGTTTCACATCTAGTTTACCACAAAACGAAGATACATCACTGAAACACGTAGCCCGGATATCGAGACTCAACGACATACAAAACAAGATATACATCTCTTCTCGAAAGAGCACTCAATCTCGTTCAAATGGCAGTTTCATCGTCTCTACGTGAAGTCACAGACGAAGTTACCAAGCAGCTTCGGGCAAAAGAGAATACAGAAACGGCCGAGTATATCTTGCTTTACGGAAAGTACGAAACGATTGTCAGCGACTTGGGCTCACCAGTGGAGAAAATACTTAGAACCGGCGAGTTCTCTTTCGCTGGCAAGACCCAGAGTGTTTATGTTCCTCAGTGGCAAGAGTTCTACCGACAATTGGTGGACAATTACATCAAGAATCGGGAGCCAGTCGGTCCAGTACTAACAGCCAAACTCAAGAAACTTGCTACTACGGAGATGAATGCAGAAAAAGACTTCAAATATTTCGCTCGAAGAGCCATTTCTTATGTTTTCGAGATATGCCATAACGAGCTCACACTTGCGGAAACGTTCTTCCAAGATGGCGTTTCTTGGAACAAAGATAGCGAGCTGGCGGAAAAGATCGAACAAAATCGCTTCTCTCATCTTGCTACTTTGCACAACTTCCTGTCACCGTACCTCAACAATGGAGATTTGACGAGGGCTTGCAGTCTGATTACTTGGCTGGAAGCGACTTATCTCACCTCTAACGATGGAGACTATGAGACTGACAGAAAGCGTGATGCTCAACGGCTTACAGCTCACGTTTTGCTCGAAAAGCACCTTTGGCCATTATCTGATGGTCTGTTTCTCACTGCTGCTGCTGCCATCCAGAATTTCAAGCCAACACCAGATGACTTGCGAATTACCGACAATTCAACTAGACCCCTCACCAGTGACTCAAAGGCCTCTATAAAATCTGCTGCCACTGAATCAAGTGAGACCGCCCATAGTTTTGCCACACCTGGGATGGCAAGCGCCTATCCAACGGTCAAGACTGCCGTCAAGCTACTAGTTATGTATAATGATCGGGTTTATGACAGACCAGTAAGTTCTACGACCAAATTTGTTGAATCAACGCTAACAACATCTAAGAGAACCGGAGATGTATTATATGAAATTGTCCACCAAGCAACAGAATCCCTCCAGAAAGCAGCAACAATCATAAAACGCAACACCACAATCATGGACGCCCAACTCTTCCTAATCAAAAACCTCATGCTAATCGAGAATCTCTTCATGACACACGAGATCCCCGATTCCATCCGGCAATCCGCCGAATTCGACTTCTCCCCCATCTGGGACACCATCAAAGAGCTTCAAGACCGAAGACAGCTGTTCAATCCACTAGCCTACTTCACGCCTCTCCTCAAAGGTAAACTTCTCCCTGCAGTTGTGGATCATCTGCTAGATGCGAGGAAGGAACTGGAAAAAGTTCTGGTTCAGCAGATCACGGCTTTTACGAAGCATTGGCAGGCTAGGTTGGGGGATAGGGATCCGAAGAAGAGGAGCGCGATTGAGAAGGCGACTGCGGAGCTGGATGTGCTTTTGAGAAAGGTCTTTGAGGATGAGACTACGAGGGCGGCGCTTTGGAAGATGATTCGAGCTGAGGCTGAGGAGAATTAGGATGCTTGAGAGGTTGTAGATAGAGATGGTGTTGTTGAACTATTACTGAAGAATAAATGGCCGTTGACAGCAGATAATTACTATCAAAATTACCGTTTTTTGAGTTGCTTTCGATTGAAGCTTCTTAGATACGGCATCCTGAATGTACTGTACTAAAAGGTCGAATAGAGTAAATACTAATTCGCAAATCGCAAATCGCAAATCGCAAGTTATATATTTACTACTACTGTACTAGAGTGCCCAAACCCCCACACCCCCAGACCCCTAAGTACATAAGAAGGGGGCCTGATTATGTAAACCCGCCACCCACTGTCACCCACCCTCGCTATCGCTGCACCCTCGCTGTCGCTGCACCCTCACTGTCGCTATACCCTTACTGTCGCATCATCACTGTCGGATAGGGTTATGCCCTAGTATGTTGTTTAGAGAGGAGAGAGAGAGAGAGAGAAGTAGGGAAATGAACTAGTTGTACGCGTCGCTTATCGTCAGCCCTGAATACTATCTTCCTAAAATGGCTAGGCTAGCACGTGTTGCGCTAACAATTGATTGCTACCTACCTTCGCGCCCCTCGCTCTTCCCCGCTCTCTCTTCTCTATTCCTTACAACAGCGACAGTAAGGATACGACAGTGAGTATAAACGACAGTAAGCGTGGGCGATAGTAAGGGTGTACACGTGAAAATGACTAGGCACGTGAAGTCTAAGGGTGGGAGTAGGTAGAGTTGAAGGAGCGTTGGAAATAAATTCAAGCTTATTTACCTTTAATTCTGGCGCTGTTATATAACCCTAAGCCTGAGCTAGTTTGCGATTTGCGATTTGCGATTTGGTATTTACTCTATTTGAGCTTTTAGTACATTCAGGATGCCGTATTAGATCGATTTCATGGACTTCATTCGCTTCTTTTTTTAAAGTATTTATTTGTGAGTAGAGATTTGTTGTCATGGTAGAGTATTAATGAGATTGTCCGCAAGGAGAGCAGGAGAAAACTCCTCGCGCCAGGAACTGTTTAAGTAGCTATAAGTAAGACTACTGGGCGAAACTCTAGACACGTATATAAACATCTATTATACTAGAATTTCTAGAACAATCAACTGTATTGTTCTATATTACTTAGGTCAATTAATCTATATTGATTTCAATTATCAAAAATCGCTCAGAGAATCATTTTAATTGCTCGAGACTTTTAGAATAATATATCTTTCTAACCTAGGTGTGTACAGAGTTTCGCCAGACTATCTTACCATACCCCTATTTACTTAACGTGGGGTCTCCTACGTACTTTTCTATTTACTACAATAGTCGAAATCCTTATGTCTATCTTCCTAGACTTCTAGAATAACTCTTAATCAAGTAGATGGTCGAAGTCCTAGGTGCCCTGTAAATACTTCAAAGTAGTAACAAATAGAAATAGCTACACGGAGTAGGTATCTTTTATTATTCTAGGTATTCAGACTAGTTGAAGTTATTATCCTAGATTCTCCCAAGTTCATTAATTTAACTCATTTTATTCTAGGTGATCGGAATTATCTTGTATTGTTTTCTATTCAGAACATAGCCGATCTTAATTTATTATTTAGTTGGACATTGCTCTCTTTGTAGGAGTAGCAAGACTCGACGAAAAGAAAATACGACAGGTGATAGAGAGAAGCTCTTTGTACAGCCCCCGAAAGCAATCTTCATTTTGCTTTCAACTCACAATAATTGTCGAAGATCCAGTTCAGGACCAATTTTAAGCTTAAGCTTGATTTGAGGGCCGTGATCACGGGAATCAAAATCGCGGTTCTGCGCGTCGCGACCTCGGCTTCACTAGTTAGATTTTGGGCATCATCTCGAGCTCAACAGATTCATCAACTCGGCTCTGGGCCTTTAAAGCTCCAAGCCCAATCACCGGAACCCAACCAGCCCCGTCATTTCTCCACCACGACCTCGATCCCCATACGAATACTCACGATGCTATGAACTGTAGCCATGCGCTTCTCTGGATCATTCAGACACACTCTTTACCTCAACCTGAACCTGGACAATGCCACAAGTACCGTGTAAATTTTGGCAGCAAGGGCATTGCAGATTCGGAGGTATGTCTAAATCCGCAAAACCCCCCTTTTGAAGTGTCTCTCGAAGAGGAAACTAAGAACTACTGCAGACAGATGCACCTTTTTACATGAATCCGGCGGTGGAGGGGCCTCGAATAATAACCGCTTTGCGCCCCAGCCCGACAACAGGAGAAATGGATACCAAGGTCAGAATCAAGGATTCCATAATACACAGAACAGACGTGAGGAACTCCCCTCGTTTCCCTCGAATTTCGCTGACGCCCAGAAGCTTCACAACCATCATTTGGAGGGAGAAATGAGCTACCATACAGCCTGGACAAAGATCAGATCATAACGGACTTGGCCTCCGAACGACCGCAGTGGATATTGTCTGCCTATGGCCCTGGGAAATGGGCTCCTGCGCAGCTGTTTGGAGGAGAGGCTCGAGAGAAGAGTTTTGAGGAGATGAGGTTGGCGCATTATATCGCGACGGCAGCAGGAATCCAACCCCAAGCTGTGAGGATGTCTGCGCATGTTGGAGATTCTATATACTGATTGATACCAGATTCAAGAAGCCGAGCTCCTTTACCAGGCTTCCCAGCAGCAGATACAGACAATTCTCAACGATGTGGACGGGGCGATCAATTATATCATTCAGGCGGAAAAAGATCACCCAAATAGACTTGATATAGTGAAACAAGGACCAACAGGAACTTCACAGGCAAATCCATTGAATGTAGCTAGTCAAACGACAGGTGGTGCTTTTGGGGCGCCTTCACAGCCAGCGTTTGGTGCACCATCTGGAGCATTTGGGCAACCATCAAATTTGGGACAGAAACCTAATCCATTTGGACAGCCTTCAGCCCTAGGACAAACCCCAGGTCCCTTTGGACAGCCCTCGAGTCTTGGTCAAAACCCAAATCCATTTGGACAACCTTCAACTCTGAGACAGACAGCTTCACCGGTTGGTCAGCCCTCAGCGTTGGGTCAGAAACCCACTCCATTTGGAGCGCCCTCTTCAGCCTTTGGACAGCCATCAAGTACTCCAAGTCCATTCGGACAACCATCTGCTCCGAGTAATACATTCGGGGCCTCTTCTACTGCCCCAGGTGCATTTGGGCAGCCATCTCTCCCTGCCGCCAATAACGCATTTGGGCAACCAGCAGCAAATCCATTAGCTCAGTCATCACCTTTTCCGTTCGGCGCTCCTTCACAAGCCGCAACGAGTAATCCTTTCGGAGCTCCTTCGCAACCTGCTGCAAGTAATCCTTTTGGGGCCCCTTTGCAACCTGCCCCATCAAATCCATTTGGAGCTGCCTCACAACCACCACAAACAAATGGATTTGCTGCAGTAAACCAGCCATTTGGGGGGCCATCTCCAGCACCTCCGAATCCATTCGGTGCACCTTCGCAACCAACCAATGGATCATTTGGAGCAGCCCCTCCAGCCGCAAGCAATCCATTTGGAAATCCATCGACTAATCAACCAAACCCATTTAACACTCAGCCTGCAGCACCTCAACCATTTGGAAATCCAAACCCAATAGCAGCTGCGGTGAACGGACAAGCTGGACCACAGAGAAATATAGTAGAATATTCTTCTAGCGGCCCGAATGGGAGCCTAACAATGTTCAAAGGAAAGCGAGTCGTCTACGATGAGGAAAAGCAGGGGCAGGGTAAAACTCCTGTTCCAGGTATACGAAATCCAGACGGTACTTGGATGAAGATTTGGTTTCCGACAGGAGCCCCGATGTGCAAGGATACAGAGATGGATGAAGAGTTTTACGATGATAGCGTCAAGACAGCATATCAGGAGATGAGTACAACGGGGAGGTTTTCTGGTGGAAAGATACCTTTGATACCCCCAAAGAGAGAGTGGTGTTCCTGGGAGTTTTGAGACTTGTTTGTAGGGGTTTATTAGGCGATAAGCAAGGGAAAATTCATTGCATCAAAGTGGCGTTGTTTCTTGACTTGGGGCTTGCTGTTGATGAGATTTGGAGGATTAAGAGTAGGAGAAGAAATGGGTGTATAACTATGGTACTTTGGTACGAAGTGACAATTTACTGTCACGTTTTTATGAAGATGTGGTGAGAGTACTTGTTTGGTGTTGTTGTGAGTGTGGGTTGTACTGCATTAGTCTATGTTAGCGAATGAGACTGCATACAGATCCCCCGCAATGGAGAGTTCCAAAATACGAACGTGAGAATATGGTATGTTTCTACAAGCACAGCTTACGCTAGCACTATCCGCGGGTCTTCAGTCTCTCACCATTAAATTGTCATCGTTTCGTCACCCCGCCAAAACTCAACCTTTTACATAGCCTAAACCCGCGATCCACCACAAAACCTCTAAACAGCCTCATCTTCACTTTCCTAGAATACCTCGCTTAATCAGAATCTGCCTCGGAATTGGGAGGATATTTCAAACATAAAGCAGTCAGCCAGCCAACCAACCAGCCAGTCAACAAACATTCATTGCATTGTTTATTCCTGATCGAAATGTCGCCTTCTATACCACCACCTCAATCTCAATCTCAATCTCAATCTCAACCAACAATCATCCCATCAATTCCGATTCCAGAACCAAGATTCCTCACCCTACCGCATAAACCGGATTCTCCTATTTCGTATACGTTTATCCCTTCTTCTTCTTCTTCTTCTTCTTCTTCTTTCTCTTCATCAAATAAAGAGGAGAGTAAGAATAAGAATACAAATACAGACAATAAAAATCTGATACTCTTCCTGAACGGTCTTGGTCTCCCGGCTGAGTCGTGGATCCCGAGTATAAAGATTTTACTGAGTAAGAGGGGATTTGGGGCTGGTGAAGGGGGAGAGAAAGGGATAGAGAAAGGGAAAGAGGATGGATACTCAGCGATACTAACATACGACCGCTTCGGACAGGGCCCCACCACGTCCCGGGATCCTCTTGATGGCACCGTAGGACGGGAGAGAGGCCATACGTTGGAGGATGTTGTGAGGGATTTGGAGGAGGTTCTTAGGGTCGTTGTTGCTACGCATATATCCATCTCTCAACCTTCACAAGAGCAAGAAGCAAATAAAGAAGACGGTATAAACCTCCTGATAGTAGGAGCCTCAATAGGCGTGCCCCTCCTCCGTCTCTACGCTTCCTCCCCCACCCGCCCATTCCCTCTATCCGGCGCCCTCCTCCTCGACTCCAACATCGCAAACACACCTTACTCTTCTATCCTCCCCGCCCCGGACTCCCCCGCTTTCACTGCAAATCCTGAGAAGTATCTTGGTGGCGAGTGTAGCGAACCAGAGTGTACGATTGAGGAGTACACAGCCTCACGAGGGATCTTTGTAAGGATGTTTGATTTCGATGTCCCGAACAAGGAGGGCCTGGATCGGAGGAGTAGTCCGGATTTGTTGCCTAGTAGTACGGGGCCGAGGTTGGATGGTGGGGGAGGGAATGGGGTGGAGATGACGGTTGTTGGACATGATTCTGGGAGTTTTATTGAGGGGAGTTGGGAGAGGGTTGGTGTGCATAGGAGGGTTGGGTTTTTGGTTGATCGGTATATATATCTCCTTTTTATTCCCTTCCCCTCCTTTTACTTACCTTCGTCCGCTTCTTTCCCCTCATTGCAGAAAGAAGATATTGTTTCCTCCATGTTTTTGTTTGGGATTTATACTGAGAGTATCCTGATACATAGGTTCTGGAAACAATACAACCAAGACCTCACACAACTCACCACTCCAGAGAAATGTAGGGGTCCTATCATCGCGAAGGGATGTGGGCATTTTATTCAAGAGGATGATCCGGGGTTTGTGGCGGAGGAGGTTTTGGGGTTGATGGGACGGTTGGGGTGGTTGGGGTGGTGAGGTTGTGGTTGTTGAGGGTGAGAGATGGGGGTGGATAGGGTGGAAGATTAGGAGGTTAAGGGTGAGGGTAAGAGGTTAAGACGTTAAAATTTCAAAAAGAAGATGAAAATGACAAAAAAGTCATAGATGAGATCATCTCATGAGGAGTGCTGTAGTGCGTGCAAGTGTAAACTACAGTTCCGATTCCAAGTCCCAGTCCAAGATATTCAAAAAAGTTCAAAAGATAAAAAGCAGCAAGACCCTCCAAAGACCTCCAAAGAATAACATAAATATCATAGCAACCAACAACCCGCGACCTCAAAACCCTCAAAACCAACAATGCTATCCAGAAAAAACCCTACTTTCCCAGACAAGGACGTTGTAGTCTCCACTCATATCAAAGTACTAGAGAGAAATATTGAGACCACCTACTCACCAACCAACTCACTCACTAACCCAAGAGAAGCCATGAAAAGTGACAATATAATCAATACTCCAATCCTGAAACTAAAAGTCCCAAGACATATAGCGTAAGATTTACAACTAACAATCATCCCCCTCTATCCGAATTAAACAAAAACCGCCACCCCTTCCTCCTTCCCCCTTGGAAATTCAAGCACGGAGTACCTACCCAGGTGCCCGAAAAAGAGATATCTCACTGAGATATTGTGGATAGTAAAGGGCACACATACACACACATCTACCAATCATCTACCAATCATCTACCAATCATCCCCCTCCATCCTCCATCCGTATTAACCACCAAAACCCCCTTCACCACGCGAAATAGAAGTCTAAGCACACATCGAACCTACCCTCTCTACCTTCCAAGGTGCCCGAAAAAGAGATGTCACACTATCTTCAAGATACCGCAGTGAACAGTAAAAGGCACATGAAAAACCAAAAATTCAAAAGGGCAAAGGGAAAATCTAGTTATCAACATCGATATCGATATTGATACTGTGGGAATTCAATATACAGCAAAGGTATCACGAAATGGTGCTAAGCTATACAACACCACTTGCTGCCTCACCAAATATACAATGTTAGTAAGTACTGTACATCTCATAGAACCGACCATCAATCACCAGCAACAAGAAAGGGTGCGTACAAGTACAGTACACAGCAATCCCGGAAAAAACCAATAAAAAATAAGCAATCGATTCATTAACAGTGGTATCCCATCCACATCATGGACGTTAAAAACACCCCACCCATACGCCTCAGCCTCAGTCCCAGCCTCCGCTCTGGTCTCAATCTCAAATTTGGGGGCACATCCTAAAATACAAGTACAGTACAGTACAGTACAACCTGGTCTACCCTGCAACTCCATCCCGTTCCACAAAACGGCGCTTCAAGGATCCCGAGAATCCATAGAATGCGTGCTCCCGTACCTACGGTAGCACAAAGTTCTTTTCTTTCCTAAACCCACGTGAAGCCCGAAACCTTAACCTCTCTCATCTTCTTACTAGTCTCATGAAACTTCTCAACCTCCTGCGCCTTTTGTAAAGCTTCTTGCTGCTTGATAGCAAGTTTGGCCAGATCCGCTTCTCGAGCCTGCTTCCAATCGTCACCATGCATTTGCTTGTACAAATCATCAGTACCTTGTTCCATGTTCTTGGTCCAGGCTTCGAAGACACTGAGTTGTGATTCAAGAACTTGCTTCTCGCCTTCAACATGGTCGGCCTTCATGCGCTTCGCCTTTGCATTTGCCTCAGCTTCAAGTTCAGCATCTCGGGCCTTGCGCTTCTTTTCTTCCTCTTCCTTGGCACGTGCTTTGTCGGCGAGGTATCGCAAGCTGTGCGTTAAATTGCGCTTCTCCTCTGGAATTGGATTGGCGTCAAGAGGAGGGGCGGTGAAGAAGAGAACACGACCATATTCATCTTGTTGAAATTGACTTCTGATTTCAGGTGGGATGGAAAAGTTGGCTGGTTCGGGCAAGTGATAGACTTCGACAGGACGAGGAGGGTTGTAGGCGTTGTGAGCTTGATGAGGTACCTGAGCCGGGTTTATGTGGCGGACTGGAGTTCCAGCGTTGTTGCCTCCATAATGACCAAAACCGGGTTGTGCAATCGGAGTCGCGCCAGAGGTGTATTGAGGAGCATAGCTTGTTTGATAATGCGGGGTGTGGGTTACAGCAGGGTGGGCGGAAGAGCTATGGGCGACAGCTCCATAAGACATTTGATGTGATGGCGCAGGGGAGTGCGATGGGCGAGCGGCGGAGGGAAATTGTTGCCCGTACTGGGCGGGAAGGGGACTGTGACCCGTCATGGGGGATGGAAGCGCAGCGTTGGAATGGGTGCGCGCCAGCGAGGTTTCTCTATCGTATCGCGGGCGTTCACTCGTGATGGGTCGGCGAACAGGTTCTGGCTCGGGCGGTGGTGGTGAAGGTGTTGGCTCGGGTGGAGGGGATTCCTTTATCTAATTAGCGTGCGATACGATGCGATGCGATGCTTGGTGGTTGGTGGTTGAGTGGGTGGGTGGTTGAAGATAAAAGATTAGGATTGGGATTAGCTGGAGCAGGAACATCAAAAACTTACGTTCGCTTCACGGGGGCGTCTGTGGACAGCACCCACGATCGGTGGAGCATTGGGGGCTCCCCAAGTCGGCTTGGGCAACGGATCGTCTTCTTTTGCATCTTCTCGAAGCAAATGTTTGATGGGGCTCGGAACCTTCTTTGTCGACCTGGGCACATCAAACAGATCCATCTCATAGTCCTTCTCCCGCACCTCGTCTGGCACACAACTCGCCCAAGTCTTGATCTTATTCAACTTGTGCTGCATCTCATTATATCGAGCCTCGCAGACATACACCTCTTTGTCGGCTGGAAATCCACGAGGCCGGCCCTTGTTGAATCTCGTAAAGAACATGACAAAACATCGATCCACCACCTCGTCAATCTTGTGATCGCGATACTGACCTGTCTTGACAACTTCATTTTCAAAAAAGTGCTTTTCATACCTGTGTACCGTCTGCTCTGGTCGATAATACCAACATGCATTGATCCATTTCTGGCCTGTTGGATCCTGCCAGGTGCGATAGACTTGAGCGACGATGGGTTTCGTGACATCGTTGGGGTTGGCTAAATGTATCCAGTCCCCTACTTTCCACAGTTCCCCGTTGTGCAGAATCTCGGACAATGGTAAACGACCATCCTCATCAGCAAAGTCCTCATCAGGCTTTTGCTTCTCCTGTTCAGCAATGGTCTTTGCTTCCTTTTGCAAATCCACTGCATCCTTATACACCTGACTATCCTCCAAATTGTATGATTTAGCATTCTCAAACATTAAGTCTAGATCCTTCATTACTTGGTCTACAGACTGGTAATTCTTTCTCTTCGCCCTCTTCTTGATCGTGTCCATGGCAATTGGATGCTTGATCTCTTGATAATACTCCGGCATCACCGTCTTATCCGGCAACTTCTCGAAATGTAGCACCTTCAGCTCATTGTTATCGTTCTTAAACTTTCGCAGTGTCTTGAGGATTGTGTTTATGCGGGCTTCCATAGGAGTGTGAACCTTTGGCGGCCTTCCTCGTTTCTTTTGCGATTCGGGGTCCTCCTTGCTTTCACTCTCTTGTCTCTTCTCGCGTTTATTGGCACCCGACGATCTGCGCCCTCTCTTGCGTCGTCCTCGAGGCCGGTCATCATCTGTAACATCTTCCTCTTCGTCCTCTTCCGATTCCTCTTCTTCCTCTTCTGGTTCCGGCTCAGCATCTTCTTCCTCGTCCTCCTCATCCGGATCTCGAGGAGGTGAAGGTTCCGCTTCTGGGATTTCGCCCAAATCTGGAAGCGCCGCTTCTTCTGCAGTTATCACCTTCTCTCCAACCAACTTTTCCAACTCCTTCACCAAAAGACCCTGCAGTGCAATCGCATCTTGGTAGACTTCGGAAGAGGGACGATTGTAGACCATGGCATTGTGGAACACTTGGGCAAAGTCTCGAATGAACTCTTTCTGGTGCTTATACTGTTTCTTGTTGATTTTCATCTGGGTTTGTTAGTACGACGGGGAAAGCCATTTTCAATATTTACATACTCGAATGGTACTAAACGCGATGGGGTCTTTGATTATGCGAAAGTAATCCGGGTAAGTTCGTTTATTGAGCATCCGTTGAAATGCGAGGGCGATTTCACGATCAGGACTATTACCACACGTCAATACAACTTGCGCCATTGATTCCCCAAGCAGCACACTCACTCCTCGGGATCTCGGGCATCGCTCAGCCGTCTCAGTATCCCATCTAGCTGCTCATTTTCCTGTTTAGTCAAACCCTGTTGGGTTGAGGGTGCGGGAGTGGCAGCAGAGGGGGTAGCTTCTGGAGGGTTCGCAGGGTTCATATCGGTGTCCTGCGTGGTGGTTGGCGCATTGCTTTCCTCAGCTACCTTTTCCTCCCCTTTCACTTCAATCGAAGCTGCCTCGGTCGCAGACGGCGTTGGAGCATCAGACGACATAATTGATGGCTTTCTACAAGAGTTGCGACAATTAGAAATGATGCGAAAGCAGGCTGGGTTCCAGGCCGCGATGTGATCGGGAGAATGAACGCGCAGGTCTTGGCACACACGTGATCTCTTTGGTCTGATGTTAGTTCAGAGCTAGTTCTTGATCCAATTCGTTCGGACAATTTCAATCTTTGGCACAGAATTGGAATATATTACACGGATCATTTGTTTCGGAATTCAGAGCACTCGAACCTACTCGGTTGTTATAAATATATGGCGTACGCATACTCTTCTTGAAATTGGGAGAACAAGAGGTACGTAGGTACGTAGGTACGTAGGTACACGAGTATACTGAGCTACTACTGAGCTACTGATGACTGATGCCGTTTTAGAGGTAAATCACCCGTGGACAGCTCCTTCTTTCACTCCTTGTTTGTTCTTCATTCACTACAAATGCAAGATGTTGATACTGACATTCGAGTGCTTTCTGAATGGGTATCGGTAGGTCTTTTTTTCATTCACTCATTCTTCACTACCAAGTGGCAAGAATTTCTTGCACTCTCTTTCCTTAAAACCCCTATGTTACCCCTCCATCCACTTCTCCTTTCCCCACCATTCCAAGACGTTCCCGCTTCTCACTTCGTCACACCTGCCTGCACCTTCGAATATGCGCGCCAGACTTCGAGCACCTGGGGGTGTGTCCACGATTACCCTAGCGGACGATGCTACCATCCAACACCTGATCGCCGAGATCAAAGAGAAGACGTCGATTTCCAACTTCGATGTTAAGTATGGTTATCCGCCTCGACCTTTGCGACTCGAACAGTACGAAAAGTCGCAACTCCTAAGCACACTCGATGTTAAACTCGACGGAGAACAGCTTACTATAAGCCCACGAGATGACCCCAGCACCACACCATCAGCCCCAGCTGTATCACAAGGAGGAGCAAACAAAGTAACGGCGCACTTCTCCTTTACGAATGCGCCTGGTTCGCAACCATCAGGGGAAAAGAAGCACAAGCCTATCGCATTGAAGACCAAAGTCATGGACGAGGATGTGCCAGAGATTCCTCTGCCAGGGCACGGGGCTACACTTGGTGGGTTGATTTAGCGCCCGTCGAAAGAATAATGCTAACCAACTATTAGTACTTCGAGTAATGCCAGATGATAACTCGTGCCTCTTCCGCGCATTCGGGACTGCAGTGTTGCCAGGCGACGACCAGAGTATGCCAGAATTGCGGTCTCTCGTCGCAAGTGCTATCCAAGCCGAACCCGATGTCTACTCCACGGTAGTTCTCGAACGAGAGCCAGACGACTACTGTCGATGGATTCAAACTCAGGACGCTTGGGGAGGAGCTATCGAGATGGGTATATTAGCCAATCACTTTGATATAGAAATCTGCAGTATAGACGTCAAAGTAAATATCACTCCACCACTTTCATCTACCACACCTAACAAACCCAGTCTCTTCGTGTAGATAAATTCAACGAAGGCAAACCAACTCGTTGTATCCTCGTATACTCGGGCATCCACTACGACACCATCGTCCAATCCCCCTCCGATCCACCTCACACCAAAGCCGACGCCCCTCCCGACTTCGACAAGCGAGTCTTCGACTCGGACGACGACGCGCTTCTCGTAGCCGCTCTAGAGTTATGCAAGAAGCTACAGTCAAAGAATTATTATACCGATACGGGTGGGATGAAGATCAAATGCCAGATTTGTGGATCAATCTTGATTGGACAGGGACAGGCGAATGCACATGCGCAGCAGACGGGGCATTATGATATGGCTGAGATCCCGGTGTGATTCTTGATCTCCATTTTTCCGTTGGGTTCTTGGGTTGGAAGATTCTGGAGAGAAATAGTGAGAGATAGATTTCTTGGTATGTAGTATCTTCAATAGGATGGATTTTCCCTCGTGTAATTTGTAACCTTGGTTATTTGAATATGTGAGTCTAGGGAGGAGAGGGCAGGGGGTTTGTGTCTTCGATGGCAACCTATTTACTTATAACCTATATTTTGGGAGGAGATGGGGGGCTGGGGGATGTGAGTGATAAGTTGGGTTAAGAGTATATGGTACGGTGGTTGGGTGGGTAGGGATGGGGGTTTGCGTGTATTGTGCTGTAGTTTGTTGGACGGTATGAATAGTAGGATCTCATATCTTATGTTAATACTTTTAACAGCTGTTTACATACTTGTAAACAGGAACTAGTACCTACTATCCAGTACCCAGTGTCTAGATATAGACATATAAAGGTAAAGTAGGCTAGACCATGAGTGGAATCACGGTGCAGCTGCACGAGCAAGCTAAGATCGAAGATGGGATCCTGGGAGGGTTGGCATATGCAAAGTGCCAAAGTGTGAGCAGAGAGTTGGACGTTGGATGACCCTGTTGTCTTTCTGGAGGTTTTTCGTTTTGTGAGTTGGTGGGTACTTTCCTTTTGGTTTTTGGTTTTTTTGTGGTTTTTTTGGGGAAGGGTGGGAATCGACAGTAAATGAAGATTCGACGGTAAAGAGTAGGATCTTCTACATTCCTTGGCTGCGATATAATGACTAGGCTTGTATGTCTGTTATTTCCCTTTGGCTGGTTGATGATATAAAAGGACGGGTTGAGACGTGTTAGGTGTAGGTTTCTCTTTTTTGCGTTGAGTCGCCAGCAATTGTACATGCCACATTGGAATATCATGTTCCATGTTTCACATGAGATGTGTTGTTTAGAGGGGATTTTATAGCTGGGTTCGTAGGTGGTCGGGATAGGGGATAGGATTATTGGGTAGGAACTATAAGAGGGAAGTGAGAGTTTGGGGGAGGAAGGGAGAGGGGGAGGGAGGCGTTGGTAAGGGTGGTTATTGTTGATTAGTCATGGTTATTTCTTCTTGAAAAGGGGCGTTTTAAGGAAGGGAAGGAAAGGGGGTTTATGAGAAAAGCCTATATTTCCCGGTGTTTATTACTTGTATATACTTGTATATGCGACACGTAACCTAACATTGGGGTGGCACTGATTTCGGATTTCGGATTTTTTGGGATCCTGAGGGGTAGAGATTGGAGGGTGGAGACTATATGGGATTTTACTTAGATACCTGGATAGGTTAGAAATACTTTTCCTGCTACGGACAGGTAGGTACGTATAATGGTAGCGCGCGGGATTGCCTAATCTTAGTGTATTAACATCTCTTCTATTTCTCTTTCTTTTCTTTACTGAGTTTCTCCGCGAGATCATAAGAATCCCAGGACTTCATTTCCATATAACCCAAAGCCTTTAACCTACACCTCCAAACTCTCAAGTATATTACCTACCTACCTATCGAGAAATGAGAAGTCGAAACTTCAAGATACTTTAGCTATACACACATATTTTCATCGCTTCACAAGAACCATCCGAAAAGCCCGAATTGAAAGCCGCCTTCCAAGCTGATTACAAGTCGAGGAAACATTCAGAGTTCCCCTTGCCCTGGCAAGACAATGCAATAATAGGAAGGACTGATGCTTTTTGACGCCACGACGGTTCTGTATACCATGGCAAGCTTGAGACATAGATTTGGATGTGGGTTTTCGAGGGAGGGAGTTTTGAAGTGAAGGTAGATAGAATTTCGACGGTAGATAGATTCTTTCTTTTGGCGAAGCGTGGGGGGTGAATCGTTCCTGTTGGTTCTTTATACGGATGGACTTACTTTACTCTTCCGGCTAGTAATAAGAAAGGTTGATGATGCGGCGAGGTATTAGACGCTCGGAGTGTATCTGATGTGTTCCAGCTTTCAGCTAGAGCTGTAGAAATGATATTAGTTCGAACCGTTCCATAATACGCACGGTATATATACGGTACCCTCGCCAACATTTCAAAATGAACGGAACGTTCCTCTTGGACATCTGCGGGGAGGGACTTCTGGGAGTTTTGAAGAGGTGGATGGGATTGCTTCCTTATTTTGTGAGGGGGTATTTGAAGTACTGTAGATAAACACTAGAATGGGAAATGGGCGTGTCTGTTTGTGTGATTAGGAAGGAGAAATGGGTTGAGGCGTTTTGAATACGGGCTAAGTATTAGTGCTTTGGGGGCTTTGGAGTATGGGGGTTTGGCGTTGGATAGCTTATATCATGATTTTTATCGTATAACTAAAGAGTTACTTACTCATTTCTGGATAGATTTCCACTCGTAGTATATCCGGATTTGGAGGACTCGTTTTCTGTTCTCTATATGTATAAATCGCCATAGTTGCTATCCGGAACAATTGTGTAAAGCTTGGACATAATATTAGCTCGCTTAATTTTATGAGATTCGTGATGTTATTAAGAAAGAGTTAACCTTGATGATTTATATATCCCTTCTAGACAATATCTCCTCCGTGGTCCTTGTCCCACGAGGGCTTAATTGCTTCGAATGTGGGTTTATATGTCTTCATGAACCTGAAAACGCACATAGCGCATCATTTGTAGTACGTGCGTACGCGAGAGTGCTTTGAATGTGGATACTATTACTCCACTTTGAAGCACAGGTAAAAGTTGTAACTATATTGTCTGGAAGGGATATTATCTAGAATAACATACAATTTTACATATAGTTAACCTAAATTGATGGGATAACCCAGTCACTTGTGCCTGACTTTCCTGACTTTGGTGACTTTCTACGTTGTGTGCAGAGAGCTATAACTCGGCCCGCCTACACACTAGGCACGGGATTGTTCGAATATGAGAGAATTCGGGGTTTATATCAAATTTCACGAAGGTGGAAGTGTCCAATAGAAATGATACAAGATGTGGTACATACCTCATGCTTTTTAAGAGCCTCACAAACACGTGGAAAATGGAGGGTATAATTCCCTCGGGAATGGAAGCTATTATTGATGCAGGTATAAACTGGCAACTAGTCGAATAGTAACCTTTTCCCCTAATGTAGGGAAGTTCGTAAATCGACAGTAGGTCAGAAATCGACAACACCTTCTAAGCTGGCCTTTTTAATGAAAAAAGAAAAAAAGGGTTGTCTTGTATATTTACTTCTTCGTTTCTTATCCGCGATAAATTCGTGATTCAAAGGCAACTGTTTATAACTTGGTAACATATTTTAAACCAATTTGAGTTCCCCTGTTGAGCCAGCTATTTGGCGTTCCAGATATCATCCTAATCCAGCGTCATTACCTGAGTTGGGATTTTTCTTAGCTCTCCTTATAACTCGGTTTCTGGAGAAAGCTCGCGGCATTTCAGGTGCCACGTATCGCCGTAAGTGGTTCGTCTACAATTAGACTTATAAATTCACAACTGATTGTACCATTCGATTCTATTAATATACTCTCTACGCACGAACCATCACCCGGACGATATCTCAGGATTGTATCCAATCATTGGAACCATAATATTAAGCATAAATAAATGCCCTTTCATTAACGTCGAAAGTGTACATTCTGGTGCATTCTTACGATTTAGTTCTTAATTTGTTCCACCTTTTCTACGGTATAGTAATCGTGATATTTATTACGAACTTTTCGTCGATCTAGCTAACATACCAGATCCTTGATTGAAGGGTGTATTCTTAGCAGAATGATCTGGTGCGATTGTTGGCTTTATTTTGTTTCCTGTGTTAACCTACGTACTACTGTACTCTTTTCAAATACAGCAATACTTACGTGAATATCACGCGTATTGGAGAAGAAGTAGAAGGTGGAGAAGAAGAAGAAGACGCTTCTTTCGAATCGATTTACATAGCTTCCAAGAATAGTGTTTCTAAGGCAAGCTGTTTTCAAACCGCTGTCTTTTCGGTCTACAAAATTAAGATCATAGTTTTGATGCTTTTGCCTAGCGAGGAATCTTGCAAAACCGACAGTAGATGAAAATTCGACACTAAACCCTCGGATTGTCGTCACCAGAATATGAATCTCCTATATTAATGTTGGTAGCCATTCACACCAGAGATATCGGCTAGCAGCCTAGCACTAGTACCGCCGCAGCTTTTCATATGAAATCAGTAATGAGATGTATGTTTAGATTTGACTGTTGCAAACATGTTTTCCTTGAAATGTAACTGTCGCTTTGGACACCTTTCCACTCCGATTAACGATAATTTATAATTCAACTCCTCGCTAAACATCTTGAAACCCGCGTGGATAGAAGTCATCCTGATATTCATAACATTATTGCCTTGTAGCAGAGTATCCTTTACTATATTACAATTTGTCTTGACTTGCCAAAGATGAGTAGGACGTAACTAAAATATTCTATGTTTTTAAAGCACCGTTGGTAAGCTTCTTGAACTCAAATCACGACAGCAAACTCTCCTTATTCGCCCACCGCGACCGAAATTTCAAGAAACAAATAACCTGGTGCCGAAGCCCCATTTAGCCCCTTGAATGGAAAAAAAGACGCTGTCATAGGAATATTAGGAGTTATCCTCAACTATAAAGCACCTGTAGTCGGACTAGAATCACGCGGTGACTCGTACGAGCAGAAGTACAACGCGAACAGGCGACTCGAGTTCTACAGGAGGCAGAGAAGCAGTGCAACCGCCCTATTTCGTGTTATTTTCTCTTTTCCTTTGCTGGCCCCTTTTCTCTCTCGTGCCTCGTACGTATCACACTCTTATCATTAAAACTTTCCTTATAAAGTTCACACTTGGGAAAAGATTCCCCTAAACACGAAAATTCCCGGACTCGTTGTGTTAGGCGATATTTTCGGAGAATATATCGAAGCCGACTAAGAGAAGTACCCGATTTGGATAAAAATATCGCCATATCTTTGTGTATACTGAACCAGTCATGTTGATTTCCCCAAACCAGGAGAACAATCAGTTAAATAGGCAGATGATCAGGAACCAGTTTAACAGCCGTAGGGGTGAGCTTAATGAAGAAAATGTCAACGTGAAAAAGAGGACGAAAGTAATCAAAGGAAAAGAAAAGGAAACAGGCAATGGCGAGGATTCGTCTGGCACCCAAGACAAACCAGCTGGTGATCCGTCTGGCAAGAAAGACAAACCAAAATAAAGTATTAAGAAAGGTCAGAATCAACTTTTGTTTCGAGTTCAGGATAAAGGAAATACTCCTGAAGGCTTGTCCAGTCGACAAAATTCCGAAGAGTCAAATGGGGGCTTCTTAGACGATGAGAACCGCTTCTTTATTTAGGTAAGAGATCTGGTTGTTACTTCATACACACTATATAGAAAGTTAGTATACTTGACTTCTTGTACAAGTAAAATGATTGTATTAGTGTAATTGGCTTTCTAAAAACAAACAAGGAACACTTATACGAACTATTTCTATATATATATACTAGTTATACGAGGAACGTGGAAAAATATTACTCTAAAAGAGATATGTATATAGCGTTTTAATAAAGGTACTTAACTACTTAACCCTACCCAAGTAATACTCGGGTAGTTCTATAAAACGTGACCATAATACAAAGCAATTATCTTATACCTCATATATATAGGGGTACTCGGTTAAGTACGAGTACGTGGTACGCGTAGACCGGTTATACGAAATACCGCCGGGGCCTTTAGAATAATAACATTTTATATAGCGTGTATTAAGTAATAACTAGGTATTAGAATACCAATAAACCTATCTCTATCGTATATAAATCGTATCTGAAAAATCAAATCCTATTAGTATAGAACAGTAGTTGATTATGACTCTGAATCCGTCTTATTTACATATATTTCTAACAAGTAGGAGTGGCGCTATATAGGTAGAAAGTGCCGTATACATATACTATTACTATACGCGACACTTGCTTCTACTAACCAGAAGCCTAGCTGCTTCCAACAACCCAAGAACTGTAATGACCATAACCCCCTTCTCAAACATGTATTTAGTACAGCTTTACTCATCTGTTGGAGGGAAACCCCCAGCCGTGCTACTATAGTCTCAGACTCACACAGTCTCAGACTCACACAGCACGTCAAAAGGAATAATAATAATAATAATAATAATAATATGCTTCTACTAATGTTAAGCGACAGCGCAGCAAAGGGAAGACGCACTAACAATTAGTCGTTAACGTCTTCGATAATCTCATTAAAGAACTCTCCTGATTTCCTTGACGAGTAGTCCGATTTATAATTTGACCGAAAGCGGTTGAATGGTTAAAGGTATTAATAGCAGGATTTCAACGACTATTTGAGAACTGAATACTTAGTAGTAAAATATGTACTTTTTAAATTATAAACTGCTATTATCAATATCCTGTACGAATAGCAAGAGATCTGTGTCATACATCCATCTCTGGTATCTCGCGCAAACTCCCAAGAAAAATGCACGAACAAAAGAAGCTCTATCAATATCAACCTCCACAGAAACTACAAACCACACCCTCTGAACCCCCAAACACAACCACACAACAAACAAACAATATCAAATAACCTTCCACTTAAACCCAACCTGCACCCACCTAGCCGCCAAAAATAACACCGTCCCCGCCACCATAGTACACCCACAAAAGATCTGCAAATGCGTGAACACTCCCTCAGCGGTCACCAGCGCACCCCCAATCGGATTGCCCGTGAGTCCCGCAAACGCAACGAATGCAAAGAACGTGCCGGTTCTCACACCAATCTCCCTGATTGGGGAGATCTGCGCCAGGATCGCGGGACCCATGGAGACGAAGGCACCGGAGGAGAAGCCGTAGAGCGCGCAGAAGACAATGATGGGTGCGTTGCTGCGCGAGGGCAGCCAGATGGCGAGCACGATAATGGCGGAGAAGGCAGTGGTGCAGAGCATGGTGTTGTATCGTCCCAGGTGGTCGGCGATTATACCGGGGAGGATGCGGCCGAGGACTCTGATGGGTGTTAGAACTTGGGGGTTTAATGGGTTTGGAGGGGAGTTGGTGGCGGTTTGGAGGTACTTACGATGCTGCGTTTAGTATTGATATTAGATAGATAGATAGTTCGGCAGACATGCCGTGTTTTTGTGCACTAGTTCATACTGTTAGTAATGGATATGTTTCTTATTTTTGGATAGATACTTACTAGAGTGGCAAATATCCAAAAGGCAAGAAAGCACCAAAGAAGAAGAGAAATGATGCAAAGCAAGTTAATGAGAAAGCTGGCTCCTTGATAGGTCGGATGAATTCCATCAACACAACCTTTCTGGGAATAGGTGTGAGTCTGGACTTGATGGTCATGATTGCGATGAGTTGCATGCCCAGGATGAAGAAAGCGCAGGCTCTCATGGTCCAAGGGAATCCAATTTGGGGAATGAGTTTTGAAACGAAGATGCTAGGGAAGAGGTCAGCTTAGGTATAGGTAACCTCAGGTCAAAACAGGACAAGGACGAAGAAGAGATTTCTTTGAGGACATAAAACTCTCGAAAATAGGGGTCTCGTGTGTCGTAGGACGTAGTAGGACTTACGGTAAAATCACACCTCCCAAAGAAGAGCCTGATGCCATGATTCCAAAAGCAGTGGCACGGCTCTTAAAAAACCAAGTCCCAACCGAGTTCATAGCCGAAAAGAAAATCGCACTCGCTCCAAAGGCACTAACAAATCCCTGTGCCAAGATAAACTGGTAGTACTCAGTTGACAACGAAGTCATCATCAAACCAAAGACGTGGAAAAAACTTCCACCAAGTAGAAGCCAACGGGGCCCATAACTATCAAAGACCTTTCCAAAAATGGGTCCACCAAAGAACATGCAGAATATTTCTATCGAAGTGATCCAGGAAATCGTACTAGAAGAGTATTCCTGTAGTGAATTGTTTTCATAATACTCCTGGAAAAGACCTGTGGTATTCATTAGCTATCACGCCTTTTTTGAGGATCAAATTAATGTTTTTTACCAATGCAGTTAACCCAGCCAAAAGAAGTAAACAAACAACACCATCCACCAACTACCACAAGCCACGCCTCAAGACCTCCATCCGGGAAATCAGCTGGGTTTACACCACCAGCGACTGGTACAGGCTTCTGAGCAACTCCCCCTTTTTCTATATCCGTTTCAGCTTTAACTGTACCTTCTGCTGAAACATTGGCCTCCGTTTCTGAGAGCCTTTTTGAGAGAGCTGGCTCCAGAGAATTCCGCGCTGTCTCCATGTAGCGACCATCAGTAGGAGTGTGGGTCGCTTTCTCCGACATTTTAATTCCTAGGTTTGTTGAAGATGTTGATGATCCGTAGTCAAATGGGGATAAGTCGGTGGCGCTAAAAGAAAAACAAACAATTGTTGGTGGCGTTGGTAGTTTACCCAAGATCCCCAGAAATCCGTAAGAACAATGTAAGATTCTCTCGCACTTTGCTGATAACGTCTATGGAAGATGGCCGCAGGATTGTGATGAATTGTTATCGATAAGTGTTGCAGGCGCCAGCTGTGAGGGAAAGGAAGCTTTTTTATATCTTGTATTTAAAAGATGGAGATATTTCCAGTACAAATACAGTACGTACAGATCGTGCTCCGACGAATGGAGTAGTTTGTTTGGTGATGAGTAAGAGTAAGATATCTGCCGTTCTATGATTTGGGACCAGCCGGGTTTCTTTTCAGCGTCGCATCGTATATATATTGCTCCCATGGTTGAATCCCTCAAAACCATTGAATCGGTCTCGCGCATCGGGATGTCGCTCGGCACTAAGTCAAGGCCGAGGGGGCTACGGTTAACCCGCGCGAAACAAATAAGCTATAAGGCTACAAGGATATCTCAATAAGGGGAATTTAAGAGCAGGTACAGAATGTGTAAGCAAAGCTTAACAACATATACAGTACCTTCACGCTAAGCGCAGGAAAAGGTTAAAACAACCACATCTTCAGTAACCCAGCTCTGATATAGGAATAGGTTACTTCCACACATAATACGAGCTTCCAACTAGGGGATTCTTTAAACGAAGAACTGTGGGTCTGTGTAAAACACTAAACTATAACTGAAAAGTACACTTTTCCTCGGAAAAAAACCTAGAAGGTACTGTACAGTAGTTACAATCGTATTGTACACGACTTAGTTGTAATATCCTCGTTTAGGGCAGCGTTCGGCAACTGGAATTCCATTCCATACCAGACCCCCCCTATAGAATATACTATGCCATTTGTACGAACCTCTAGAATATACTATTCCATATAGGGTAGTTCCGTGGCATACTATAGAACAAATCCACGTGACCCGGAGTAAAGTTTCCCCGGTCTAAAGACTAATAGAAATAAACCCTCTAGTACCTCTATTTAAACGCCTCTTATAAGCGTATAACAACTCTACTGATTATAGGAGGTTGTTGTAGACAAGTAATTACCTAGATCAAAAGATATATACAAGCTCCCTTAGTTACCCTTGATACACAAAACATATCTTTTATTTAGCGCCGAGAGTTGGTGAATAGTACACGAGTACCTAGCCCTAGGTATACGAATAAGCTATTAGCCTGGTACGTGCTCGTCACGTGTCTTGGAATTCCATAATTCCATAGAATACCAGAGCCTATTCGATGGAAATAAGTATGCTATTTATAAGGACCTCTAACAATATTCCATATGGGATGGAATTATGGAATCTATGGAATCGAGTACCATTTGCCGAACGCTGGTTTAGGGGAGCCGATTAAAACATGCTATCAGGAGTAGATAAGATCCATCCATCTTTTTCTCCCTACCCGGAGCCAGTGTGAATCGTCATCAAAAAAAGAATCCAAAAGCTGCTCGGATTTCCCAAGCAGTTAACAGTGCTGACCAAATCTTAAGATTCCCAAAAAGGGTAATTCCCGGATATAAAGGAAAGCGTAACTGCCCATTATATACCGTCGGAGATAATGATATCCCCTCATCAAGTCAACAAATATTATTAAAAGTCTATGGGGAGGGCATCGAGTCAGGATATATCAGAGTTTGGCTGTCTAGCTTTGGATAGAGAAAACGACGAAAGTTTCGCTTGATCTAAGTTAACCCCGAGGAGCGAAACCCAAATAGGCGAATCCCTTAAAGGTCATCTTTTATTCTTATCAGATCTTCATGTACAGTATGTAATATTGTCGGCCTCAAGCTGACTTGCATAACAGCCTTGTTGCGCTGACATCAAGTGGTGTTGGTTTCTTCATGTGTTATGGGACCCTGTGAGTCAAAGAATGTTGGAGGGGTACAGTAAGTGGGAGGGAACCGAAAAGAATAGTGTTGGAAAAATAAGACGGAGGTCAGTTATCCTGTCCATCTTTTTCAAGTGTTTTCATTTTCTGTACACTTACAGTATCATCCCACCAAGGAACCTTGAAAAAAGCCCCTGGTAATCTTACATTTATTAAATTTTCCAGTCAATCCCTACTTTAAAAATGGTTTGAGATCTTCAACCTCACCAAATTTCACCTTACCATATCTGCTGACTTCCGCTGTGTGAAATCCAGTTGGGACGTGGATGGCTTGCTTTCCAGATGTCGTTTCTGCCGCTTGTGACCTTTCAAGCGTTACTGCTGATTGTGCTGACCCAGGAGGGGCATCTGCAATTTCATTCACATCTCTTGATGTCAAAACGTCGCTAATTCTAGATGCCCTCGAGGACATTAAAATTGTGGCTGGTCCATGGAATTGTAGGAACAACCGATCGCCCCAAATAGACCTTCGCGCGGCGGTTCGGAGGGTGAAGAGAATCTTCATGATACCCCGCCATGCATCTGTTTCTTTCATAACCCGAAAAAATTTGATATTTGAGAGTAGAGAAGTAAATCCAAGATCCGGGACCTGGAATCGCACACTTGAGGACTTGAGTTGGTATGGCAAAGGTGGGTGTTGTGTAATGGTATATGCGACAACATTTCCTGGGTGTGCTACGTATTGCTCGCCTGGCTTCAAAGAGACCTGGTATATCTGCCCTGGCCCGGCTAATGCTACAAGACCTCTGCCTGTAACTTCTGTATTGCCCCAATGTGCCAAACTCATCCCTCGGTTTACAGTTGGCGAGACGGAGAGTGTATGGCCAGTCCAAGCTAGAAGCGCCTTCCGTTGCGCAACCATCCAATCCACGGTCCCATTCAGATGTAACACGGTAAAAGAGGTGAACGGCGATTTAGTAGAAATCAAAGCCGTTATTGGGCTGGTTGAGGAGATTTTCTGATAAAGGAAAGGTATGCCGAGCGCGGCGCGCCGAAAGGGCTCTAGGATGGACAAGGTGGATTGTGCCTTGCGTTATGTTAGCTAGAATTATGCTAGCTGGCATAGATATTCCATACATTTTCGGATTTCCCGCTGAGTCCTACTAATGTTCCCCTCCTTGTATATAATTTTTGTGAAGCGGATAGCGAGACTGAGAGGAGAGAGTATGGCGCCCCAAGGACCTCGAATTTGGCATCTAAACATTGAATTTTGTCAGGAATTGCTCTGAAAACTTGAACGGAACTATGGTATACCTGCAGGATCTGTTGATGCTTCAATTGAGTTGCTTAATGCATCACCTCCAAGTATTGGAGTTTCTGAGGTAGGTGTTGCGCTGATTTGAATAGTTCGACAACCTAAATTTTTGGTGTAAGGGCGGTGAAGCCGTCGCACCCCTCGAGCAGCTCCTATCAGCGGTAAGTGCCCGCGCATTGCTGCTACACCTGCAGAAGCTGGGGATGTGGTGGTTGGAAGAGGTTGAGCTCTTTGGAGAGGTCCCGTCGTGCAGAGCACAAGACAAGCTTCGGGGAAACTCATGGCACGGCAGGGTTCGCGAATTTGTGCCGATTGCGTAATGTGACGACTACTTCACACCTTCACTATCTACTTACTCGTACTCATTCTGCAACACAACCATTTGAACATTAGCAGAAGCTGAGGAATTACTTGACAATCTCGGATCCTCATTTAGCATTGCTTCAAACGAACTCCGCAGGCAGGCGACGGAAAACGAACGGCCGCAAAGAGCACCGGATCTACCCCTCCAAATTCGTACTTTATGCCTTGAGGGAACCATGCGGGTAGAGGATCTCATGTCTCCAAGACGATAACCACAGGCGGAGTACAAGATAGTTCAAGATGTTCTTGAACGGTCTGGGGAAAGCCCGTTGCTTCAATTCAAGAGCGACTCTCAAGCGGCAGCCATGGCAAAACGCGCCTATAGGTCTCCGATCGTTCACCAAAACCACTCAATTTCTCAGAGACCAGCCAATGCGAGCCCCGATCCAGAGCCAGTCTCTCCCTAATCCAAAAGCCGCAGAAAATGTACCAAAGAAAGTGCCAGAAACAGCTCGGAAAGCAGCACCAGCACGGAAAGATCCCCTGGCGCTGGGGATGCAAGACAAGACCGTTTCCGAGCAGCGAAAAGCGGATTGGGCGATCATGAGAGAGATGGCAAAATATCTATGGCCAAAGGATAACTTGGGAACTCGTGTCCGGGTTGGAGTTTCCGTCGTTCTCTTGGTTGGCGCAAAACTCCTCAATGTTCAGGTGCCATTCTACTTCAAAAGCATTGTGGACTCCTTGAATGTCGATTTTGTGGCAGTCGGAGGCACCGCAACGACTGTTGCTGGTTCGATGATATTGGCCTATGGGGTAACGAGAATTGGGGCCACACTTTTCCAAGAGGCCAGAAATGCCATCTTTGCAAGCGTTTCTTACAAAGCTATCCGAAGCGTGGCTCGAGATGTGTTTCATCATCTGTTAAAGCTGGACCTGAATTTCCATCTTAGCAAACAGACTGGTGGACTTACGAAAGCTATTGACCGAGGAAGTAAAGGAATCAATTTCTTGCTCAGCTCCATGGTTTTCCACATCCTACCCACTGCTCTAGAGATTTCTATGGTTTGCGGCATCCTGACTTATCAGTATGGAATCAAATTCGCCGCCATTACCAGTCTCACGATGGTTGGTTATACTGCTTTTACAATTTGGACTACTGCGTGGCGAACCAAATTCCGAAGACAGCTCAATGCCGCAGACAACAAGGGCTCTACTGTAGCTGTTGACTCGTTGATCAACTATGAAGCTGTGAAACATTTCAACAATGAAAAATACGAGGTTGGGAGATATGACCAAGCGTTGAAAGATTACGAGAAATCTGGTATCAAGGTGGCCACATCTTTGGCATTTTTGAACACGGGACAGAATCTCATATTTTCAAGCGCGCTCACGGCTATGATGTACCTCGCAGCAGACGGGGTGGCCAAAGGGACGCTAACTGTGGGTGACCTTGTTATGGTGAATCAGCTAGTCTTTCAGCTCTCGGTACCCCTTAATTTCCTCGGATCAGTTTACCGAGAATTACGACAAGCTTTGCTTGATATGGAGACCCTTTTCAATCTTCAAAAAGTCAATGTGTCAATCAAAGAGTTGCCGAACGCCAAGCCATTACAACTCACCAAGGGTGGTGAGATCACGTTTGAGAATGTGACCTTTGGATACCATCCAGACCGTCCTATTCTGAAGAATTTGAGTTTCACGATACCTGCCGGCAAGAAAATTGCTGTGGTCGGACCGAGTGGCTGTGGTAAATCCACAATACTTAGGTTGCTATTCCGATTCTACGACGTTCAAGAAGGGCGAATTCTCATTGATGGTCAAGATATTCGAGATGTTTCCTTGGAATCGTTGAGAAAGGCCATTGGGGTTGTACCGCAGGATACCCCTCTCTTCAACGAATCGATTGAACACAATATTCGATATGGTGATATGAGCGCTTCTTCTGAGAAGGTACTTGCGGCCGCTCAAAGAGCCAAGATCCATGACACTATATCCAAATTTCCTGATGGATACAATACCATGGTTGGAGAAAGAGGCATGATGATCTCAGGAGGTGAAAAACAACGCTTGGCCGTGTCAAGGTTGATTTTAAAGGATCCTCCATTGCTTTTCTTTGACGAAGCTACATCTGCATTGGATACCCATACTGAGCAAGCATTAATGGCAAACATCAACAGCATTTTGAAAGAGAAATCAAGAACGAGCGTCTTTGTGGCACATCGATTACGAACAATTTACGATAGTGACAAGATCATTGTTTTGAAGGAGGGCCATGTTGCCGAGAGTGGCACACACCGAGACTTGATTGATACTGGGGGTGTGTACTCGGAGCTTTGGAGTGGTAAGTTGTCCGTATCTTTCAACGTAATTTACTAACAGTTACTAGCTCAAGAGACTCTATTTGATGAAGATGGTGGGGAGCGCGATGTCATTATTGACGGCACGGTAATTAGCGAAAAGAAGCAAGACCGTCCAACCACGCTTGAATAAGGTAGTAGTATGTCTATGAAATTTTCCTTCCTTCGATGTTTCAATGAATCAGTGGTCAAGCAAATCTTCCTGAGCGTGGCATTGTGGCTGCAGCGGATATGAAGACTACAATTTGGATATGTACGATATGTACTACTAGGCGTCCTTCGCTCCAAGTTTCACCAGGCTCTGCTCGGATTGATAAGTTGACGAACCAGAAATTGAAACAAAAAAAACCGAAGGCAAATTTGAAATGTTCTTTATACATTTCGCTTACTGCTATACCGTAGTCGAAGTCCTCGAAACCTTTAGAACTCCTAGGTCGTGTTTTGATTTCGTGTGTGCTATGGTGTAAGATTACATGGCGAATATCCTCGGTCTGCAGTGCAACCATAATCCATCACTAGCATGCAGCTGATACGACGAAATTTAAACCGTTGCTTTACTTTTGCCTCATCCGTTGCCTATCAATTGCGTGTCATCTTCTTATTTCGACGGACCCAACGGTGCGTGGCTTGGTTTCGCGGGGCACGAAAGTCGTGAAAGCATCCCCACGATTCATTCGCACCCAAATCCTTCGAGGGTTTCTTGTGTAGCGAAGGCCATGGAGAGAAAAACGTGCTGGCCAGGAATGCCCCTGAAAGGTGTCTGAGCGGGTGTTAAACAGACCCCACTGCGCACGAATGGACAGGCCATGTTTGCGGGACATGACCAGGAAAAAGGGGGGCAGCCGAGCGACCAAGGGTACCAAACGCCCCGAAAGCGGGTTGGATTACCCGCCCGCCCGCTCAATCCAATGCCCAGCCGGGGATCGTGAATTCTTGGCTGGAGCTGGGTTGACAAACTGAGAAATATGAATCCGGGGGGTTGTTTTTCTTATCGTTCCATTCCAACCTTGCTTTTCCTCTCTTTCTCTCCCCTTCTCTCTTCATACGAAGGACATCGACCTGGATGTTTGGATTTGGACCGAGAAATTGAAGCTACGGGCACCTTGCTAATCGCGCACGACGACTCCCTCAGTTCTGTTTGATAAGATATATATAACTTCCTCTGGAGCTTGGCGTTGTACATCGCTTCACAACTATCTACCCCTTACCTTATCTTTTTCATTTCTCTACACTACCGGAGCAATCTACTCGCAGCACCCAACCATCCTCTGGAGCGAGCGTCGAAAATTCTTAAGTCTTGTCTCACCATCCATCCCATCGATCGCATCGCTCAAAAAGAATTCCATTCCCTCCATCCAAGAATTTCGAGTATTGCATTACTGCTGCGGACCATCAACATTCATTCAGTCAATAAATATATCATAGCTCAAGCTCGAGCTACAAGCTTAAATACCCACCCTCTACATCTACATCTACATCACCGCACTTTACATCCACAAAAATACCATCAACACGAAAAAAACAAAAACCACCCCCAAAAATGCACCTCTTCGACCTCATCCAGCAAAAACTCGAGCTCTTCCGTCTCGAACAGCGCTACACCAAGAAACGCAACCGCCGCTCCACCTTCGTCTCCGACGCCCTCTACGTCGACGGCGAATACATCTACTCGCCCACTTCCCCGCACTTCTCGCGTCACCACACGGGCAGCGATAGCGAGATCGAGAAGGTCGGAAAGCAGAGCACGAGCTCGAGTAATCATAGCCAGACGACGGGCGCTTCTGGTATCTCTGGTGTTTCGGTTGTCTCGAGTGCGGCTGCGGAGACGAAGAGTAGGAGGTTAAGTCGTATGGGACTGGAGAAGATGGATTGGAGGAGGGGTGGGAGCTCGAAGGATGGGGTTGAGAGGGGGAATGCGAGGGTTAGTGTTAGGGAGGTGAGGTGGGATGGTGGGCGGAGGAGGTAGGACAGTACTTCATATCGAAGCTGGGAATTGGGCTGGATGATTGATGGGTGAACTGGGCTGGTTGGATGAAAAGTCCTTTTTTGCTGTACATGTGCCGCTGACATTCTTGAGCGAGCGATTTTTCTTTTATTCTCTTTTGTTGTTGTTTGTTTTGGGGGATTGGCTTGTGGCTATCCTTATCATTACAGTATCATGTCTTATGAGCTTTCTCGGCGATGGGTCGATGCATCACTCTTGCATCTCTATCATCCCATTTTCCGATGATGAGGCAGAGTTGGTTGTTTGTCATGATGACCGTGTTGTGGAATTTGTATATACAGATCAGATCAGATTAGGTTGGTTAGATGAGATGAGAAAAATATCCAATCTTTGCAACAATGCCATTCCCCCTCCATCCAATATCACACGACCTACCGTACAGTATCTCCCCAACTCTTTCCTTTCCTTTCCTCAAAACATTTTACCCCTCCGTCCATATGTACCTTCCCTCCGAAAAACCCCCCTCCCTCGTACCTGTTCCCCTCCCCCTCAAAACAAAACAAAACAACCTAGCTCCCTCTGCCTCATACTTCCACACCTCCCTCTCTACTCCCCACGCCATCCATCCGATCAGCCAACCCTTTCGGTACCGTACCAGTGCTGTACAGTACCTAGCAGAATCTCCACTCGATCCCCTCACTAGCACTAGCACTAGTGCCATTCCAATCCAGCCTTTCCCGGTCTTACTTATACATCAGACGAGAAGGGTGTGGGGTATGTTTATGCATAAACGCATGGACTTGGTGATTTGCCAGTCCCTTTTGTTGTGAAACGTTGGGGTTGCGCTTGTACTTGTATTGGTACGATGGCTTGTACGAGTAAAGGGCCTAGACAGCCCGCCCTGTCACGTTTTGATATACCGCCATATGAATCGGATGATCTAATTGGTGTAGAGGGTTAGAATGTGGAGTTCTACCCTATCTATGATAAATCGTATAGAGGAGGAGTTAAGGGGAGATATCTAGATTCTAGACCCTTGGTATCACGGACGTCGGGTTCGTACTGTTTGTTTGAAACGAAACAGGGTCTTTTCTCCGTACTTGATTAGAGATACATATAAGGCTTCTATACTTGAGTAATTTTCGCTAGTAGTTCCCGAATCGAAGAGTTTCTTATATAGTTAGAAGGGGAGAGATATATATAGATAGATAGTAGGTAGATAGAAGATAGAGGACGGGAATCAATAAATATATCTTGATATAATACTAATAGATTATGTTATATTGTTAAATCCTAAGATCCCTTTCATTCTCCCTGGGTAGTTCCTAGTTATAAAGTTCCTCGCTTATTTCCTTACTATACTCGCTTACCAAACAACCTTTGCCCCCCCATCCCCTCCCCTATCCCCCATCCACCCCACAAAATCCCTCCCAAAGAGCCGCTCAATAGTCCCATAAGACAAGAGAACTAGAGCAGAACAGTGTTACAGTACTGTACTGTAGAAGAGATGTTATATTAAAGCTAGAGAGCTACATTACATCCAGACCAGTCATGCTTGGCTAGCATGGGGTACAATAGAGTAATGATAGTATAGACTTAGTGGATGTATTTTGATATAAGGTAAACACACATATAAATATATTTAGAGAAAGAGAGAGAGAGAGAGATCAACAAGTACACCCTACCACGACATTAACACCAAAAACTTCCTACCTAACAACATCACAAATCCCCATCTCACTCTACCTCCAGCAAATACTTCCCCACAATAATCTTACAAAAAACCCAAGACTCTATCTCCATTCATTCATTCATCCATCCATCAATTCCACAGTACTTCTAATCTCAAAAATCGTATAAGCATAAGCATAAGCATAAGCATAAGCATAAGCATAAGCATAAGCATAAGTGTAAGTGTAATTGTAAGTATAAGTATAAATATAATCCTAAACAATAAAGAGTAAAATTATATCTTTCCCTCCCCACGCAAGCAGCAAGCTTTAGCTACTATAGTACCTCTTCATAACATACATCCATACATATCCCGTACAAACCAAACAAACAGAAAGACACAAACGCCCCCATCTCAATGCGTAAAAAAACCCCCAAGAAACACAAGAAAAAAACATAAACCCAAAAGAAGCTTTTTCCTAATAAGCCAAAAAAAGATAACAACTCCATAACATTTACAATCCGCCCTCCCATCCAGCCAGCCATCCTATTCCATATACAAAAATCCCACTCTACCCCCCCCCCGAAATGCCAAAAACCAAAACCACCCCTAAACAGGCCTCTTAAAAGGATGCGCCTCAGTATTAAGAACCCACTCATCCAGACTAATCGTATCCGGCGTCGAGTAGAGTAAGTAAAAGTACTTCAACGTCTCCGCCAACCAGAAACTCTCCATGGAATCCGTGGGATACGGCGGGAGCATGGTGACGTCCATGATGGCCGAGTGTCCAAACTCGGTTTGCGTTGCTTTAATAATAGATTCGAACATCTTCCACCCCTTCTCTTGCCACTTTGTCTCCCCGGTGATGCGATACATGTACCACACTGACTCGATGGCTTCGGGTCTGGGAAGAGTCAGTTGAGGAAAAATAAAAAAGGGACGAGGGAAGAAGGATGAGGGATCAAAACTTACCGAAGGATATATTGCCTGGATCTGATATCTACAAATCCAGGCGGGAGTCCCTCTTGTTCAATGCGAGACTTTACGAATTCCTTATGAGTGAGTGGCATCGAGGGATCAACTGGTGGCATTGACGGGTCAATGGGCTTCTCAGCTTGTCGTCCAGCAAGAGCAACACTTTCTAATTCTTCTTCTGTTTTTTGAAATTTTTTCTCAACCGAGGAACCTGTGGTTTCTTGTTTTCGAAAGGGGGTTTTCCCGTCCTCAGCCTCCTTATCCCGCTTGCGTAACCCAGCTGCTGCTTCCTGTTCAGCGTGAATTTTGGCCACGAGTATACGATCAGATGCCGCAGCCCTTTCAATTTCCAACTTCGACTCTTCCTCGCGGGCAGCTTTGTTCTTCTTGTAGTCAGCTACAACCTGATCTCTTCTTTCACCCTGTGTGTCCAACTTGAGATAGTAAGCCTTTTCATCCCAAGTACATTTGTCCATGTTATCACAGGGGAACAAATGACCACCCTCAGGCATAACTCCTGTTACAGATGTTTCATATGCCCATACACAACCTTCTGTAAGTTTCTTTGCCATCTCAAGATCACCCTTTCGATCGAAAATCTTCGCTGCCATTCCGACCATTCCACCGATGAAGCAAGTAAGGTGTTCAATCTCAGTAGTCAATTCAGGAACGTTTGATTGAACGTAGCTGTATATCTGTAGGGAGCCAGTGAAAAGTACGTCGCGATTATCAGGCAGCATTGGTCGATAGAGCATATGCTTTTTGATGGCATCCATGGTTTTGTCGTACATTTTGCTATATACACTTTCAAGACCACCTAGCAAAAGATGTTGCTTCGGAATGTCAGCGTTGTCCAAGAGTAACAGGAATGGATCATTACCTTTGGAAAGTATTCATAAGTTGAGTCTTGACCACCACCCATGGAATATTTATCAGCGCCAGTGGAGTCCAAGCCTTGCGGTTTGCACTCCCCATATGGATATTGATATGGATCGACTTGAGTTGGTGTTGGCGGGGTTCGTTTTTCGATTGTTGCCTCTTTCTCAATCATGTATAACTGTCTCTTCTCTTTTGTCGCACCCTTGGCCGGTTGTGCTCCTTTTGGGTTTGGGTGTGTTTCGTCCCATCCTTCAATTCTGCTTGGCTGACCAAGAAGTACTTCAGGTTTTTCTACTGCAGGCTGCTGTGGGTTCACATGTGTAACTCCTTCTGAGAGAGTTGCGGGGTCAGAAGAGGATTCGGTTGAAAAGTCTGGAGGCACTATAGTTCGATTACAGCCCGAAGCATCGACATTTTCGGGAAATACACCACCAAGAGAGGTACCACGATCTTGCCATTCTGATAGTGCATTCGTAACGCGTGCCACGGCATCGTAATACCTGGGGTCCTTGGTCAATTGTGCAAGCCTTGTGAACTCCATGCATAGAGAGCCTAGCTCAGCTAAATTGGACCTTGAACTGGCTCGTTGAGGTGCGGCAGCAAAATCCGGAGCCCATCTATAGTACAAGACTGGCATCCGGTTTGGGGTGTCAAAGGCTCCCATGAGGATCTCAGCCAGCTCAACAGCTTTGGTGAGCAAACTCTTGTATTTCCCACCGCTCACATCGAATGCTGCTACCAGACCCCCGAGGTAGCGAATGGTGGTTTCGAACATGGGAATATCCTGTCTTGGAGATGTGGTGAAATCTATCAATTCCACAGCTTTGACTGCCTCCTCAAATTCATCTTCTAACCCCATAATCCATAAAGTGTCCAAAGTATCCACGAGGGTTGCCGCCCATCCGCAGAATGGATCCTGGAATTTTCCTGAGACGGGGGATAATTCATCATGCATCCAAGCATACTTCTTGTATCCCTTCCACGCCCTTTGGAATTCCTTCTTCACCAGTGCCTGCCTCTTCTGGCGTGATATCTTTGCATCCGTAGTCTCGTCATCGAATTTGTGTTGGATCGTCGGTATCTTGACAGGCTTGCCCGTTGGGAGATGGATCAACGACTCGGCAGGGACAGGATAACGCTCGGGTTGCTTCTGCCAGTGTACTTGAGTGGCTTTATCTTGCAATATATTCTGGCCTGTTTCAGGAGGATAAACGTGAGGTTGGCTGCGTCCAATTGGAACTTCCTCGTCCGGCACCGCTTCAGGCTGCTCTGATTTGGGAGACTTGGAATCGACTTTCGCCTTTGGTGGAGGGGTCGCAATGGGTTCCTTTTCATAGCCAGGGGGAGCAGTCCATTGTGCTTGCAGATTCGGTGCCTTGGGTGGTATGGGTGTGAAAGGTATGGACTTTTCCCTCACTGCCTCCAATGGTTTACCCCCATGTCCATTGCTATCCCTATGCGACGTAAATTGTTCAAGTTCCGCGCGGGCCCAATCGCTTCTCCGCGACAGGCGAACGACCAGAAAAACAAATACTGCGGCAAAGAAAAGAAAGACGCGATACCGCCTTAGACGCAGCATGTTGTGCTGTGATGTCCGGAATCCAGATTCGGATTCGGATTCGGATTCCCTCGATGGGGAAGGGGAAGGGGAAGGGAAAGCTCGTGATTGTTCGTCGTACTTGTACCGGCCGAGGCGAATGGGTAGCGGGAGGGAGGGAGGTAGAGAGGTATGGGACCACGGGGACCAACGAGGGGAGGAAGGGAAGGGGAAGAGGAAGCTACGGTAGCTGTAGCGAGCGAATGGCACAGCACAACACAACGGTTCTCGATATCAGATTTCCGACAGCACCAGCACCAGCATTTTCATCAGGGGTGGAGGTGGGATGGAAACGGTATAGGTAAGTTTACTCGTACCAAAGGGAATCCGGGAATCGGAATCGGAACCGGAACCGGAATCGAAATCGAAATCGGAATCGGAATCGGAATCGGAATCGGAATCGGTCGCCAGGACAGAAATGAAGATGGAAATGCAAGATGAGGAAAGAACCACGGGAAGAAGGAATTGCGACCAAGGCACGGAAGGAACGACGACAACAACAGTCGAAGGCGCACGTTTGTTTGGGAAAAGACACCTGCACCGTGCGTGCTCAGTTTCGAAGCTTAGGGCCCTTAGCCTCAGCCTAGCCTTCTTAGCCAAAGGTACCGACCGACCTGTCACTCTGTCCCACCGGTTTAGCGTGTTTGGTGGTGCATCGGCAACGTCTGCACAAACGTCCAAAGCGGGTTCGAAGCACGTGCTGCGGGGACTATTTGATGAATATATCTTCATATATCTTCCTACAGTATGAGATTCAAAAAGATAATAGTTGAACAGCTATGTGTACAGAGTAACACATCTAATTCTCCTGTCAAAGTCTATCAAAGGCAACATGGCGGAGCTTTTGTTCCTCCAGGTCGGCTTTTGGTATCGCCATGTAGGTATAAAGTTACTACCAAGGCCCTGGCCCTGTTCGACTCACACGTTTAGCTGAATTTATATTATGTCTAACATATTCAATTTATCAAGTAGCCCAATGTTTAACTTATTAAAGTTCGAAAAGCGTTCACCTCGTATTTAAAATTTACAGTGCCTCCTTATATTTATAATTATTCCTATATACATATAAGTACAGCCTCTTCTTAAAAGTAGCAAGAAACAAGGATTATCTACTAGTATATCATAGAGTATTTAGTAGGTATTTTATAAATGAATTCTTTTTTCTTAATAGGTTCTAAGCTTAAGAAACATCTTGCTACGTTTGAGAAAGGCTGTACCAAGTATACTACTATAAGTTACCCAAAATAAAGGTTAGCCCCCTCCTCCTTCCTACCTAACATCCCTTCTTCACAAACGGGAAAATTAATACCGGCACATTAATCAAGTACACAAGTACCAAATAGTAAAAACCCGCGTACTATAAAGAAATCCCAGAGTAGCGAGCCAAACAGGGCCTAACCCAGTGAACCATCATGCATAGCCAACCACCTCCAAAAAACGAAACGAAATCAAATCAGGAATATCTTCAAAGAAACATTCCTCCTAATTGGATGTAAAAGCTCCAACAACAGTACCAAGCCCGAAAGAAAAGCTGCAAGTCCGTCGGCTAAACTAATCAACGGCCCATTATTTACACCATCTACTTGCCGTTAATGGAAATGCGGGGATGCACTTCCGGCATTTGTGGGAAAAAACAATTTCATTCATTCATTCATATGATCAATTCTTTTCTTTTCTGGACGCGGCTTATGCTACACACCACTTAGTAGATTTCCATACACACGAGTGTTGTACAAATTATGCTCAGTACCGAGAGAGAAAAAAAGGGTCTATCCCATCATCAGATCACAGAATCTATTCATCCATTCCAGGTCCTGGTCCAACTTGGCGACCCATCTGTCTTGCCTTCAACATCTCATCGCAGAGAAGCAGATTTGATGCGATACCAGAACTGGATGCCATGGCATTTCGGAGAACACGGAAGGAGTCGTAAACACCTTCCAGAACCGGATCCATAGGCTGGCCAGTCTTGAGGTCAAGACCCACGACGTTTCCTTCTGCTTGCTCATCCTGAAGACTTGCGACTATGGAAAAATTAGTAAAAGCTCATACAATAGAGACAAAAGACTTACGAGCATCCTGAATATCGTGTCCAGCGTTGGCAGCCAAGGTTTTGGGAATAACGAGTAGAGCATCAGCAAATGCTTGCACTCCCCACTTTGCCTTACCCTTGACAGTCTTGCGGAAAGCCTCACTATTTAAGTGTGCTGCACAGGCAACTTGGAAAGCACCAGCTCCTGGGACAACACTCTTGTCAACAATCATGTTGTAGACACTTCGGAGGCCATCTCGGACTGCATCTGAGATTTGTGTAATAGTGTGTGCGTTTGGTCCTTTGATGAGAATGGTGACAGATTTCGGCTCCTTTACATCCTCGATGAAAGTGTACTTCTCCTCGCCTAATTGATTCTCATAGACCAAACCAGCCCATCCCAGAATCTCAGGTGACAGGTCGTCAACACTGTTCTGTGCAGTACCACCACAAATCAACTGTAATCTCTCCATGTTTCTTCGCTTTGCTCTTCTCAGTGCAAAGATTCCGTTCTTGACCAAAACATCCAGCGACAGTGGGTCGATACCTTTTTGGTTGATGATAACGAAGCCCTTTTTGGGGTCTCCACCGCAAACCTCATTCTTCAACTCCACAATCTTTCTTAGTTTTGCATCCACGAATTTTCTTTCGCTCTCAACAAGCTTGTCTCTTTGCTCAGCGCTAGAGTAGTAGAAACCTGAGTTGATTTCTGATTTCTCGTACTCTAAACTGACGTTCAGACTCAGAATAAAGGCATTCTCTACTCTCTTTGGCATATCAGGATGTCTTGCGCCGTGGTCCAAAGCAAGCCCACGGATGAGCTGGGTCTCGGAGGCTGTTCGGTGTTGCATCTTCATGATTTCAATCATATGTAAATCAGGCTTTGCGGGGGCTTGGTATATGGACAGGACGGCGTCAACGATATCTGGCGTGAGCTTTTCGGCAAGAGAGTGGTTGAGTTTCGTAGAGAGGGATGTTCGTGCCACGCATAATAACAATTCTCTGTCCACCTCCTTTGGAAGCTTGAAAGAGTCTAGAAACTGTAGTTCAATATGTTAGAAAAGCGTCCTGCGAGTGTGTGTGCTATCCGTACCTTCAGAGACTCGGTCTTTGCAATCTCGTAACCATCCGTGATTATCCTTGGATGTAACCCTTCTGATATATATCGGTTTGCCTGCTTCAACAGCTCGCCCACAAGCAACACAACAGATGTGGTTCCATCCCCGCAGATGTCATCCTGCGCAGTCGCAGCTCTCGCAATCATGACGGCCGTAGGATTTTGAATTTGCATTTCTCGTAAAAGGACATTTCCATCTTTCGTAAGTTTGATCTGCAGAGGACCAAGTTAGAAGTTATATAAAAATTTCGAAATCATGGTGGGATGCATACTGCGCCTGCTCCATCAACCAACCTATTGAAACAAGTTAGCCAGAGCCACAGAAAGTGGGAATATTGGCACAAACATCTTGATGGTCCCCAGAGGACCCAAGTTGGATTTCAATACATCCTGTAAACCCTCTCCAGCGCTAATGTTGACGCTCAGAGCTTCCCCCCTCCGCTAGGCAATATCAGTAAATAAATCTTCTCCCCACGGGATTTGGACGTACCCTCGACTCGGCTTTTGGGTTGAGAAGCTGTGCGGCAGACATCTTGACAAGAAGGGATTTTGTGAGGGCGAGGATTTGGAAATTTGTGAGGATAGATGGAGTTCACAAAATTAATCACTCTGCTCGACACTTTTTTCCTTAGACGCGAATGGAAGCGCGAGGCAACGGGCGGGATGCTTGGATTACCTGGTACGGCGGCCGAGATGTCGCCCGCGCGCAAGGCTGGCTCGGCTGGCTATTATTACCACAACACCATGACCATGTCGCAGCCTGACCATTTCTTCAACAAATATCTACTACTTTTTCTTCTACTGAACCATTGTTATACTTAGTCCAAGATGCATGCAGGCTTGAGCCTCGTCCTTGTCTCCGTTCTCTGCGGTCAGACTTTGGGGTTTGCCTGGCCCTTCACAGCTTTTGCAGCTACATTTGCAAACCAAGATACCCCTGAATCTGAATCTGACTCTGATGAATCAGGCCATAGGAGTGTCGCCATCATAGGTTCGTCATTTTGATCCCGTTTTATCTAATTTTCGTCGTCATTTTTCTATTGTTTGTTTCGTTTGGACGTTTTTCTTTTCCCGTCTTTCCTATTTAGGACTCTCAGGAATGTGTTAGTGGCACGGAACTTCCGGAAGAGATCTGTTAGATTAATTTCACGCTTCTAATATCCCTATAAAACAAAGCTTGATAGCCTTTCTATTCAAGCCTATTTGCAATTACGAGTGGAAACCCAAAGCTTTAGAAGTTGAAGCTGTACAAGTCGGTAAAAGCCCAGCTAATCAGTTGCTCCGTAGGCGCCGGTGCTGGCGGATCTGCTACCGCTTATTATCTCCAACAATTTGCTGCAGAGTCCGGGATTGACATTGATATCACCGTTTTTGAGAAAGAGTCCTACATCGGCGGACGAACAACAACAGTCAACGCTTATGGCAATCATCTAGAGCCTGTTGAGCTCGGAGGAAGCATTTTCGTCGAAGCCAATGAGATTCTCAAGAATGCCACTGCCAAATTTGGCCTTAGTACTGAGGGAGCAATAACCCAGGAGTTCGAGGATATCGTTGGAATCTGGAATGGTGAAAAGTTTGTTTATACCACGAAAGATAGCGACTCGCAGTGGTGGGACATTGCTAAACTAGTGTGGAAATATGGATTTGCTCCTATCAAAACTCAGCGTTTGATGCAAACTGTCGTTGGCAGATTCAAACAGATTTATACAGCACCCTTCTTCCCTTTCAGATCATTATCAGAGAGAGCTCAGGACTTGGACTTGCTATCAGCGACGTCCCTGACCGGAGAACAATTCCTGGAAAAGAACGGAGTGAGTACTTACGACCCTTTCTCTGAGCCTACTAACTCCTGAGAGATCTCTGGTGGCTTTACCACGGATATCATTCAAGCTAGCACACGAGTCAACTATGGCCAGAACTTGGGTTTAATTCATGGTCTCGAGACTATGGTTTGTATGGCCATCGAGGGTGCCATGTCCGTAGACGGCGGTAACTGGCAGATTTTCGATAGCATGGTAAAGCACTCCAATGCTACTCTTCATCTTAACAGCACGGTAAACTCTATCACCAAAAGCAAAGGCAGATACAGGTTAAACACTACTTCGATCGATGCCAGCTCTGAGGAAACCCAGCGAAGTACCGCTTTTGATACAATTGTCCTTGCTGCACCTTACAAGTATGCCAAGATCAACGTCGAGGAAGGCCTGTTGAAGAAAATACCAGACACGGTTCCTTATGTTTCCCTTCACGTCACTTTGTTCACCAGTACTCATAGATTTAGCCGAGACTTTTTCAACCTCGGACCAAACGCTGAAATCCCAAGCACTATCCTCACAACCCTTTCACCCGATGAGGTTCTCGCCAATCCCGAGAAAGGTGTTGGAAAAGCCGGATTCTTCAGCATCAGTACTTTACGAACTGTCATTAACCCGGAGACTCTGAAGATGGAAAGCCTGTATAAGATCTTTTCTCCCGAACCTGTTACGCCCGAATTCCTTGCCAAACTTTTTGGTACAGAGAGTAAGTATTCCCCGCAAAAGCCCTTCAACCATCACTAACATTGCACAGTGCCAGTCGATCTCAGCAAAGTCACAGCAGACAGCGGAGACGCCATCACATGGTACTACCCACACGTCTGGAACTCCTACCCGTACGAGTACCCCCGCGTAACATTTGAAGAAACCGAGCTCGCCCCCGGATTCTACTACACTAGCGGCATGGACTCCTTCATCTCCACCATGGAAACTAACGCACTGATGGGGATGAACATTGCTCGGCTAGTTGTCGATGATTACCTCCCAGCAGAACAAGCACAAGACGAGCCCAAATTGCTGGAACAGAAGCCTCTAGGTAGTGAGAACGGGGCTGAGTTGTGAGTTTGTGTGGCTCTAGTTGTACGATATCTTGGTTGTATGTATATTAAGAGGTTTTAGGACCCGGATTTGGATCGTCATTCTTATGGTACTTGGGTGTTTTAGTTTTCTTTCTTTTGTTTTTAGTTGGGTTGATAGACGGTAGTATTTTGATTGTATAAAAAGTTAGTAAATAAAAAGTGAGATATTGCGAATTGTAGATTCCTCTTGTGAATATGCAAGATGTCATATTGTGGGGTGTGGGAAGGGCTGGAGTATAGTGCAGGTCTATTAGATTTGATTCGAGTCATCTCGCTTAGTGTAACTAGGGAGGGAGCGAGAGGAGGCCGCAAACAATTGTTACCGCACCACGTGGCTCTTTGTTACAATTGGGAAGGGGGTATTAAGGGGGCTTGTTGTTAAGCGAGGACTATACAGCGAAAATGTTTTCTTCACTTCCAGCCTTTCAGTCCAGCAGCATTGTCTCGAGATCGAGATCTGAGCCGATGCAGACATCGTATCCACGGGTTCCCACGTTTAATAGTTTCACGGACACGTAGTACAAAATCCTACACGAGTTTCTGGCTCGAACGATTCTACTACACATAAAGCTTGCAGTTTTGCATGCGGTTACAACATGAAGATGGGCCGAAAAGAGGCGCAGGTGGACTGTGGTATGTTACGCGACATTTTTTTGTTGGGGAGACTCGAAAACAAAAATACAAGGGATACCTCTCTTTTCTGCTTCCGAGTTTATGTCCTTGCTTCCATTCTTCCTACCGTATTGTTTTTCATACCCCTCAATCATGGCTTCCTTAGCAAAACTTCGCGAACTTCTCGAAAGAATTGCTGCATTTGACGAGGTGAAAAGATTTCTTGATGACAATCCAGATCTCAACCTCAATGTTGCAACGCCGGCACCCTCATTTGCAACAAATGGAAAATATCGTTCCGAACGTGAAAACGATGATTTCAAATATGAGCTTCCATTGCATCTTGCTACATACGATGTGCGAATTGTAGACCTTCTCTTAGATACCGGCGCTAATCCAAAGTCTTTTTGCGGCCACGGTCGTAATGCCGTTCAATGCACCTCTATCTGCTGGGTTTCTGACGCCGTGTTAGATTGCCTCACCAGAGATTACCTACAGAATGAGGCGCGTACATTCTACATCAAGACTTACATCGACTCACTCGACGAGCGAAGGAGCTGGAGAGCTACTCATTACATTGCTGATAGTCAGAATCAAGACTTGTACAGAGCGTACGCTATCACTAACGCGGGAGCTGATTGGTGCCGGAAGACGGCCAAGGACGAGAAAGGAATTCGATATACGCCTTATGAAATAGCAGCAAAGCGTGGCAACTGGGGTATCACCAGCTATTTAGCGGAAAGGGAATGGGGCTCAGAATACCAGTATACCGAAGCCGATGAAAAGACCAATAAATGTGGCTGTATTTGGAGCAAGTTTCATGTCCAAAACGTGAGTAAGAAGCCTGCGATTTAAAGTTGTTAAACTACTAATTTGGACAAAAGACTGCCTACATACAAGTAATATTACTCACATGGAAATGTTGATGAGAATTGGTTCGATAACAGTACTGCAGGGATATGTCAGGAAGTTATTCGCTAGTGACGATAACAAATGTACTAGGCTTCTTGAACACATAACACTTAACTTTCGCCTCGGCCGCAAGCCAGAGAACCCTGTTGGGGGGAGTGGGAGGGAGTCAACTTGCATTTTCAAAAAGCTGGGAGATTCAGATCTTGATATTATGACAATAGCAGTAAGTCCTTCAGATTCTGGACCCTTCAAATTTGGTATAGTAACCGAGTAAAGATTCCGTACTTTTCCTCTGGAACCACCGGAGTCATCAGAAACCGCGCGAGTAAGTCTCGAGCAGATATAAAAGGATACAAATACACCAGTGATAGCAATTTCAACCATCTTGGACTACAATGCGCGTCAACTTTAGATGAGTATTGCCATCCAGGTTTAGATGCAGAAACTCTAGAGGAACGCAACAAAGATCAGGTTTTAAGTCGATACCAGAAAGATTTATCAGAAGATGACAGAAGAATACTTGTTGTTCCACAACTTTGGATCTGGACAGTGGACAGTAACTTTATTCTGACAGCCCTGCAGAGGGCGATATGGAAAGCATTCGAGGGATACACATCTATGGAACACAATGTCTTTGATCTCCTCGCAGGCGTTCTCGATCGCACAGAGAATCCAAACAAAATTCTCATCAATGCTTCTCATACAGAGTCACAAGCGTCACCAGCAGAGCAGAAAGAGGTGTTCTCTAAAAACATTTCGATTGCAATGTTGCTTTCTATGTGCATTGATACGATGGATTCCCTATCTCGATCAAACCCCGGTCTTCCAGATTCAATTTCACTTTTTGATATATTTGACAGGTCCCATATCTGACTCCGAGCTATTTGCCAAAGTAAGGGATTACACGCAATGGAATACATGGAGCGACAACAATTTGGACGTTGAGAGGGACTTTATCCTACAAATTGCCGACGTACGAGATGAAATATCTATGATAAAAAGCGTGATCTCTCAGCAGAAACAAGTCTGGCGGCAATTCATGAATGCGAAATTTCCTGACTGGGGCTTGAAGTCTCCGGAAGACGACCTCGTTATCAAATTGCAGCCCGAATATCAACAACCCTGGGCACTTGAGATTGTGGAGATGCTAAAGAGGCCACAGAAGCAATTCGCCAATTACGAACGTCAGATTGCTAAACTCGATGCAGACGCAGAGCGCCTCGAGGACATCATTCGGTTTCTCTTGGACCTGAAATCAAAGCACGCTGGTCTCAAAGAAGCACATCTTACAACACTGATGAGTGCTGCTGTTATTGGGTTTACTATTATCACCATCATCTTTACACCACTCGCTTTCCTCGCTAGTCTTTTTGCCCTTTCAACCGATCAATTTTAGCAAAACCAACGAAATTCAGTTTTGGCTAATGGTGCTCCTTTCTATTCAAGTATTTACATTGGTAAATGGATGGGTAAGTTGCATCCTATCCATGCATGAGAGAATGTGGCTGATATTGCAGCAACCATTGAAATCGCATCATTCGCCGTCGCTGGTATAGCGATTTTGGCGTCAATTGAATTCACGAAAGGCTTCAGTGTCACCAAAAACATCTGGATCTTCGGCGGGCGATTATTCGGTTTCGTGAAACCGGATTTCAGAGAAAAGAAGCAATTGGATGAAGCTAGAGACATCGGAAGAACTGACATAGCCCAGAAGCAGCCCCGATCAACTCCTCTAACCCCCCAGGCGGCGAGACGAATTTCGACAGAAGGTGATGAGGAGCCGGGATTTTTGAATAGGCTTTATGCCAGACGAAGAGGACGACGGCAGCAGCACGTGAAGTCAGGAGGTGAAGCGTGAAATATTGGGGAAAGTAAGAGAAGGGATATTCGAGGAAACAAAAAGCCCAATGTTGGAATGAAATTCCGTATTCGAGAGATATTTGGAGAAACGTATGGGTTGAATTTAAAGTTTGGATGTTGTTTTCTTAAGAAGACTTCGGCAAACTGGTTGGAAGATGGAGCGTAAAAAGGATAAACTTATCTTCTCGTATGTAATTGGGCTAGGAAGTATTTCAGTCCTTGCAATTTTGATTGATCATCCCTTACAATTATTGGCCAATACACTCCTGCTTTCACCATCTAAGTGAGACTGTTTTGTTAGTAATTATCTAAAGTTTTACAAGTTCTCACGATACGTTCAGATCGCCTCTCCCCGTGAGGACAAAGGAACCCGCGCTCCACTGGAGCCGTCCCTTACAGCACGTGACCTACTAGCTCAGGTGGCACGGAATATCGGTACCCAGGCGTTGACAGAATGCTTAAACTTGAATAAATGATTTGTGGACTGTGATTCTCAATCTAATAATCAACGAACAGCATGTAATGAACATAATATTAGTCTATATTCCAAGTTCAGAAAATATGTTCTGGCGATTATAGAATAAGGGGTCTAAGCGAACCGAATCGGCCACTTCATCCTTCCACCTGTCGCTTGATTAGTAACCTATCTAAAACGTCTCACGGCAATCCATTAGCATCACTAATAACCGAAATAAAAGAAAGTTCCGTATGTCAAGGTCTTCCAGTTCTTGGCAGACATTCCTTACTAACACGAGATCCTAAATGATTTTGCGGTAGCCGAGTTTGTTCCCACTAACCGTAATAAAGAGTTGCGGCTATTAAGATATAACTTAACTTGCGACGAGACAAGTATTAGACTGGGACTGGTTCCTAAGGATATTTTCTTTCAAGACATTTTCACTTAGAGGAATGATCCTGTGGAAACGTAGGAACTGTTCATCAAACAGCCACCTCGTGTTTGGTCCTGGATCTTGTGCCTGAGAATAGGAACTCCGTTAAAGCTTCTAAGAAAAGTCCGTTACATATCTTTGTGACATCTTATGAATTGATGAGCAAAGTATATATACATCGTCTTTCCTCTATCCATTTACTTAGCTCAACCATTCAGTCGTCTATTCATATCCATCCCTCCGACCTTCGTCTCATTCCACCATATCCCTTGAATACCGCATAATTCGTCCCAAAACCAAAATTTCCATTTTTAAGCCAAAAGCGCTCTTTCCGAATCATCGCTTCTCAAAATCCTCGCAACAATGAAGTTCGCAATAACAGTCGTGCTAGCCACAGCACTCCTCACCACCTCTGTCCCCGCCATCGTCGTCCCACGCGGCGGCGGAGAAGGCGGCGACCCACCAAAAGACTTCACCCCAATCAAGCCAGCAACCACTGCTCGCGTAGCCCCCGGACCATACAAACCTCCATTCGAAACAAAACAAGCGAACGCAAAAGCCAGTAAGCGCTCTGAGAAAGAGATTCTTTGCGACGAAGGGGGCTGTTATACCGTTAGTGTACCTCGTACCTTTCCTCCGATTCCGCAACCGACAAAGACTGCTTCGGTTGCTACTCAACCTTATGTCCCGCCTTTTGCGACCAAGGTGAAGCGGGCTGATGAGGCAAGTGTGACAGATTCTGCGGACGCACCTGTTAACACGGAATTTATTAAGAAGCGTGAGGAGGGGGGTGAGCCACCGAAGCAATTTACTCCTATCAAACCGGTGACTACTGCTCATCAAGGTGGGCAGTATGTACCGCCTTTTGGAGGGGAGAAGGGAGGGAGCTGAGTATGTGATGGTGGATGGTTGGGTACTCTACTAGGTTAGTTTTAGTGGGCGAGCTTGTTTAGTTTGGGAAGTGATAGGTATTTGAGGAGTTGGGTTTGTTTAGATTTATGTGGCTTTGATTTTATAGAGGTTTATGAAGTGTATCGTATTGATCTTTGGATGTGATTGCTATCTTTTGACTGCTTTAATCTATGATTTCGAAATTTTCAAGTGAACACCTGAGCTTCGACATATCTTCGCCTAAAGCAGCTTTGACATAATTTGAAGAATCCAAACTATTAGGATATATACTTTTTCTTACCCAATATTCCTCATAATTTCCAAAAATAGGTTCCACCTGTCTTCTTGAGGCTCTTAGAATTACATGTAGGAACGCGGGAGTTATGTGCCAATATGTCGTATTAATGCATATAAGATACAAGTCGCTTAGCCTTGAATATAAGGATTTTTGAACGATTTGAGAGTGCTTACGTAGCTAATCGATGAGTATGAGTCTTTCTAGACTCCCTAACTTGCAAGATGTGGTTGGCAGTTCTTTAAAAGTGAAGGTGAGGCTTCTTTTTTCTCCCAGAAAGGTTTCCAAAGCGTGAGGACAACCCTTCGAGACGCGCTCGAGGCAGGAGCTACTACACAAAATCCGCCTTCCGCGCCCAATCCAAGGAGTCGGAGGCAAAATCAGACAATCCTCTATCACGAAATCAATCGCCCACACCTACACCTGCAACTGCACCTGCATCCAAACTCGAGGCATTCCATCACAGCGCACTTCCTGGCGGTGGTCCCCGTGATCATCCTGTCTATGTGCGACCGTCTCGTCCTTGCGTTTCTACGACATCAGAATCCTTTCCTGCAAAAGCCTTTCCACCTTCTCCTTCTAACCCTTCTCACCTTTACTTTCTTCGCGCGTCGACACTGGCGGCACCTAACCAACACCTACATCGCGCAACTGCAAAGGGGCTCGACATTGATCTACATTCGTCTTTCATGGCCACAGGCTACAGCCCTTCCAATTCTTCCGCGTGGCGCTCTCCTTCCTCGAGCCTCGCGCGACCACCGAAGCTCAACTTCGCCTTCCCACGCGGTATCCTAGATCGGTTGTACGTGGTGTTTTGACCTTTTATTTGCTGCCTAATGCTAACAAGATTACTTATTAGATAAGTTTTCTCCCTACGCTAGTAGACCTGCCTCTTCCTAATACGGTACAATATCTCTATCACTCGCAAACATCATTTGACAACTACTGGCACCGTATCCTAGCATAGTCCAAAATGACAGGGCCAAGCGACAACGAGTTCAAGAATGACTTCCCCTTCCTCATTGAGGATTTAGAATTTGTTGACGTATTTGATCTAAAGGAAGGCGGTGGCCCAGTGGACCTCCACATGCGACAGAAAGGATATTGGCGAAACAAGTCACCAGAGCCCGGTCCATATAGCAAAAACCCTAACGCTAGAGCCCCATCAAGATATGTGTACTGCTCCAAAATTACAGGCGATTTGAAAAATCGTCGCTTCCCGAATGTTAACGACTTCGCCCGCGCTATCAATCGCTACTACGGCAGAATACCTATGTTTATATTCCGACTTATTGGGGCAGAAGGACACGATATCATCAATAGCGTACTTAGTGATCCCAAGAACAGTTTGATGATGGAGCAAGTTACAACAGCCTGGTGGCAACTTGTCGACGATGTGGTGGTATTGCTAAGAAATAGCTACGAACAATTTCTTAAAAGACCTGGTATTCCTAACGACCTAAAAGCTAAAGCCTCTCGTAACTTACACAAGCTGTATTTATCCCAGTCGTTTCACAGTCCAGCAGTCCAACTACCTCGTCTACGTGCGATCAACCCAATCTCAACACAGACATCTGCTACCTCCATCTTGTCGGACAATGAACACTCCTTTCTCGAAGAGACAGCAGCTGAGTCCTCTTAAGTGGTATTTTTTATGCCAGTCTGCTACATTGACAAACCTAATTTTCTCACAGATACAATTTCACAACGCAAACGAAAGAGCACACATAGTTCGGTTTTCCGACGCAATCCACGTCGACGACAATTGTACCCTTCTCCAACCCCTAGATCCTCCTCAGTTGGATCGTCTACCACTCCAATTGCGAATCAACTAGCTCGCCAAATCCCAGGAAACCCTCTTGCAGTTCAAACTCGTGCTGTAACATATAAAGCTATCTCAATCCCTGCACCGGCTCTTCCTGTCGAAAACGTACCTCAGCTAGATAACAGTTCCCATCTAGACACAATTTCTCAGTTATTATCAAACTCGGAACAGATTTCTGGAATTGCTCGGCAGTTGAAAAATGTTTCTGAGCAGCTCGAAAAAGCCCCATCCGCTGAGAGTCTAAGGCGAAGTCTTGTGGAGCTAATGGAGTTTGCTAGTGGAGACTTCTTAGCAGAGGCCGAAAGGCAACGTGAACAATCGCTTGTCAACCTTACTGCTCAAAGTAAGGACCTGACCAGACAATTGTTAGCATATGTGTTGCCATAGTCTCGATTAATGCCGTCGTAGTCATCTTACCAAAAGTACCTGGGAAAAGGTACTGTAGCACATGGCACGGAGCACATCTAGTGAGAAGGCGGAGATGTCAGTTGTGAAATTTGGGGTTGCATTTCCGCAGAAAATAGTACCGCACTCATGTATGTTCGGTCGCTAGGTGGTATCATGGCCTGTTCCTGGAAGAGACAAAGATGTAGAGTAAACTTCAGAATTTCATTACTGAAAAGATTTCATTTACCGTACGCGAGAGGTGAAAAAGAATTGCTTGGTGAAGCTGTTATGTAGTAGTTATAAGATAGCGCTAATGCTGTACTATCGCTCCATCGAATCATTCGACAGACCGGAAAAGCAACGTTAACATGAAATTCGCATCCGCTAGTACGCTAACTAGTATCTTTGCTTTCTCATATGTTACTGCTCGCAGCTACGGCTCGGCGGCGGCAAGTCATTTAGTTACTCTTTTTTATATGTTTATCTTAGTCCTGGGAATATTTGAGAAACAGATGCCCACGAAGATCCCTGGTGGTACTCATCAAACTGCGGCTCCGGACAACGTTAGACCCCTTAAAAGAATATAGACGCGCAACACACATTTTCTAACTTTAAGGGAGGCCTACGATGCATTGCGCCTCATCCACGACAACAAGCTTTACTTTCATTACAAAAAGTGCGATTCGTAATTTTCATCCTACTTTGGATATAAGGCTTAGTTCTAAACCCAATCATAACTTCATATATTATTACCGATGTCCGAGGCTTTACTCAAGGCTGTGGGTGGTGGGGGTGAGTATCTCTGAGCAAGGATTCTTGCTTAATACCCACCAAGAACTTTTGAACTGGTGGGCCTCATATTCAGATGTGCTTATATACTTGAGTTTAGGCAGGTTTGACAACTGGAAAAGAGAACGCTTTCAGCTCCTCAAGTTCTACACTGTAAACCAACCTTCTGAAACGCTCGCCATCGCCGGTATATAGCTGGCGGCAGCGCGAAATCATAGGTCCCAGCTAGAGGTCTTTCCATGAATGTCCATACCAATTTTTGAATCCACATATTCTGACCATCACATCTCACGAGTGTTACAACTTTCAAGATGATTCTCCAAAAAGAACAGAGAACCACCACCAGCGTATGAACAAACTAATCAACTACTTAAGTACTACTTGAGTAGAGTAGAGTTGAGTAGTCAATTTCACTACTTAATTAGTGGTGAGTACTGGGTATGACTACTTAATTAGTACTTAAGTAGTACTTAAGTAGTTATAGTAAAAAACGTGACTAAAGTACAAAATAATTATCCTCAAAAGACAGTCCACTTTCGACCCGTTCGTCCTCCTTATCGACAACAATACCCCAGCTTTTTAAGCTTGTTATTGCCTCGAAAGTATCCTTTGCTAGCTTATTCCTATTCTTAGATATAATATTAGCCCCCTTGCTAAATAAGCGTTCGCTTGGAGCGCTTGTTGCCGGGATCTGTAAATATCTCCTTGCTAATATCAATAAGACAGGGAAGCGAGAGCTATTATTCTTCCACCACCATAAGGGAAGAGTCTATAAGAGGACGAATTAGTAAAAGAGCTCCACCACGTTCATGGGAGCCCGAAGCACCGCACCGCCTAAATTAGTTGAGCATTCTTGTCACTGGAAGCCATCTTCGCACGCCCTGTCAGCCACCGCACATTGTTTAAATTCTCCAGAAACTTGCAACAACAATTCTATATCCAGCGGTGCAACTCCAACCATACCACATTCTTTGTGAGAGCCAACAAAACACTGCAAACCTACCTCCATAATTCACTGTGAATTCCAACCCTGTCAAAGGACCTTTTCACTCAAGTACTAATACAAGTAAGCCCCACCTTTCACCACACGACTTTTGTGATATCCCAAACACACAACAGTCGTCACATGAAATCACATACCCATCCCAAACGTTGTCAACTATACGACCAAGGGATTGAAACTCCAAAAGATCTCAAGAGACATCACAACCCGGTTCACGATACCTTAAAGAGATATTTCTGCATTTTTGCTGGGTGCAAGCATGCCAGAGATAGAGGGGGGGATGGGTTCCCGAGGAAGGATAATTGGAGGAGGCACGTGAGGTATAAGCATAGAGTTTCCAAGGAAGAGATGAGGAATATGGAACTAGATGTTGGAGGCCCGGAGGGTGATTCTGGGTATATTTTCTCTTTCACTCTTTCCTTGGTTTCAACGACTTGGGTACAGGTTGCTCTGAAATAGTAGGGTTATTTCTCATGGATTTCCCTCTTTATCACTCATGACGATATATTTCATACACGTCATTGAGTCACAGCCTCATGTTTCATTTCTTTCACAGCTTCTTAAACTGTAGGCAGAAGCCAACCGTCAACTAGGCCTAAGTTTTACGTACTTGCCTACCTAAATCTGTGGAGATGTTCCCTAGGTAAGCCGTGAACTCACGTGAATTAATCTTCCTTAAGTACGCCCATAACTTCACAGGGAAGCACACATGGGACATATTTTGATCCTTGCTGTCTCACTCCACTACTTATTTTGACTCACAAAGCATTCGTATACCCGTTTCTTTATCACCTGTCATGTTTAATCTTCCAGTTATCACATGATACACGAATTACGTTTCCTTGGTGGGATATTCCATTTTCAAGGTTGTGTTCTGATTTATGTCTGACATTAGAATCTAATAGTATCACAAACAATTATATCATTTTCCATGGACATATAGGATATTGTGCTATATAGGCGCTGAGTCATATAGAGTTTGCCTTGATTCTTCTTCTCGTATATACGTCGAAAAACATGATTTGATGTTCTTGGGGTGGGATTTTCAGAATTTCGAGAAATGACGGGGGCCGCTTACAGTCTGTTTTGAATTCTTCCACAAACCCCCGCAAATTAACCAATATTCTCTCCGAACTAATACAAGGATGAGTATTTTCTCAATGCCCATATCTCACCTATGATCTCACGGATATTATTCAATTACTGGCATTGACCTTTTACGGCTTGCTCCTGCAGCTGCCTAACGAGGCAGGTCACGTGTCATAACCAAGGCCCCTCGGGCCCGTGCCTTCGTCGTCCTTCGGTGAGAGGCCACGAAATGGTGCATCTTGATCATACCTGCACCACCCTTCCGGCAACTCACAGAAAAATATCGCTGTTGCCGTGTCACATACCACCGAACATCGCTACCCCTCGATTGACCTACCTGAATGATCATGATTGGGTAGAGTACACTGCGGAGCACGCTGGTTCGAGGGTGGGATGAAGCTGCATGCGCCTGAAGGGAAACTGATGAGTGTTTTGGCCCGGAAAGGGATGGATGTGGGCGTGAGTGTCATTCAGCCGTGGCCAGCTCGTTTTCCTCATGCTCTTCTACGTGTTCTTTGCTCTTCTTTTAAGCAGACTATCTTCTTCTAGAACGCCCAACGAAGTCGTGAGGCTCTCGGTGAAGTTCAGTCAAGGAGGGATTGGTGATCTGAGTATTCTCGTTCCAATTACACGTACGCAACACTAGCGCTTACACTGGGGTCCAGATCATCATCAGCACGCCGGTATCGTCGGCTGGGGAAAATGTTGTCATGCAGTCAGCTTCCTTTGGCTGCATGCAGGTTAGTGGCGAAGCACAGTCGAAGCACAATCATTTGACGCTCCTGCTGGGATTGCGGGATATGCATCCAACAACACCAACTTGGGCGCGAGATTAAGAGGATTATGAGTTTCAAAATGCTCGCAAGTCGCTGTCCCATTCGACACCACAGGTCGGCTCGCCGTTCTGAATCCATCACGTCTCAATGTTTGCTTCTGCCTGATGTTCAAGCACCTCATTGCCAGCTGCGGCCCGTCGCTCCCACAAAAGTCCACACCATCACTGCGCCATCTGGCTAGCATTATCATGTTGTCAGGCGGATCAGCGTACAAGGCCAGGGCACTACCAGGACTACTTTTTCGTGGCCGAATCAGCATCGTCGTGGCAACTGCATTACTCTAGATACGGCGTTTGTACTCGCCCAGTGGATTCCGCCCTCGCTCAGTTTTTGTCAAACCCATGTCCGTCACTTCATGTTGCATGATACCCACCGCCAGGAGGGCGACCTGAGCGAGATTATTTAAAAGTTAACGCATACCCGGATATTTCACCTTTTTGCTCGCCTCCGCACTTACTCTGTATCTGCGCAAGAACTATTTTCTTGCCCTTTTTCCCACAATTTTTACAAGCCGGAAACCTCCAGATGTGTGATTGATTTCTCTTAAATCCAGCACTCGCATTGAGCCAATCACAGCTGCGGAAGGACTTCAAGGGGAGTGGACCCACTTTGAACAGTCCACGACACCTGGTTGGCTGATCCTGGTATTCCACACTTTGGACAGAGGCCCCCCAACAACTCTCACCGAAGCTCAGGACCGAACACGCACCTCTCGACTCTCAACACCTCTCTCTTACCAAGCCGCGGCAGGATCCAATGGCCAACTGGCATGAGGGACACTCGGTGAGCAGTCTCGACACGCATATAGGGCGAAACACAACACAATGGGCACGAACCACCTGAAGCACCTTCAGTACCTCTCCCTATTGCTTTATCCATTGTGCCGTATTGGCACTTTGATGACAGAGGAGCCCATTATTCAATGGGTGGTGTTTGATGAGTCCTGGACTTAGTCAGTCCGGCTGCTGGAGCAACCTTTGGTTAGATCCATGTCTGGAGGTACTTGGGTACTTTGGTACATAGGTACTTACTTGCTCATGTAGGCTACATCTGGTAACATACACGTGATGTAATGCTCGCATGCTCTTTAGCTACGCTTCATTCATCGCGAATGTGTTCGAGGATGTGAGCTGTAGGAGTTACTGATAATCATGGCCGAGCTTCAGGGCGTCGCTCTTGTTTGAACGTGTGCTGTCGAAGTCGGCGTTGCATTGTGTTGAGTTTGCGCGTCCTGCGAATCTTTTTCTCGAGTCCTGGATTCTTGTAGGGTAGGTTGTAGGATATGTTGTACGGTAAGTCGGAGCACCCAATTCCCCCACCCCGCCCTTCGGTCCCCTCTTCGCCCGTCTTCTGCAGAATTCCCTTCTTTTCTCCTTCCTTTCATTCTTTATCATTCTTAACCCTACCAACGCTCTTGCCAACAATCCCATTGTATTTTACAAAAACACATTGTACGCTATCACCCGCAACTGAAAGTAAGATCTCATACCCTCTCGAATGCATCCCAACAAATTTAAGCTGACCTTGCTGCCTAGATCACCGCCAACAGTCACCTTTCCCCCGAAATGGCCTCTCAACACCAGCCAGACGGTCGATTTACCGCCATTACGACAACCAGCATGCCTGTGTATGACGCCAGATCTTACGAACCATATCCGACCGGATCACATGCATACGGCCAACCCGAATCGTATTCCATGAATACTCCTGGCGATGATTTTGTGCTTTATGACTCCGATTCTTGTTTCATCGATGATGAGGCTTCTGTTCGCCCAAATCATGGGTCAATCTACAATGGCACCCATGACTCTTCCACTGCTTATATCCCCCAAAACACCTCCTATGATACATCAAAATGCAACAACGATGGAAGCAACTTCGTACCAACAAGCCAAGGCAGCCGCGCAGGCTCACGGAGTTATGTCTATCAACCAACACAACCAAGTCAACCTGACCAGCCATCATCATTGTTTGGGGAGTTTGAGCGGGTGCCCACCGACGGCCCTTCCCCTTTCTCACAATGGGTTGTCTCGCCATATCGCCATGAACGACTCGGCGTTCAATATGAGGCTTTACCCCGCTTGCAGGATGATGATGAGGAATCCATACGTCTTACTCCCGAACCAACATCACCACCACCATCGCCTAAACACCGAAAGTCGAAATCAGGCAGCAGCAGCAACAAGCCACAACGGCGACGCAGGCACTGATTTTCACGACGCATTTATTCTTTGACAACTGTGGCTTCGCATCGCGATGCTAATCGAACTTTCTTTTTATGACTTCATTTACGTGCACGGAGTCTAATGTTGTATTTCTTTGCTCGGGAATTGTTATCTTGCATGTTTCCTCGAGTATGTTATCAACGATTTGGGTTGGCTTTTTACGATCGAGTCTCTTTTCCCTTGAATTTTCTTTCACAGAACAGCCGATGGTTGGATGTGTACCGGACTGGAATTAGTTGGATGCGGAAATGCTGGAATTAATGATGCTGATGAATGACGATGGGCGTGAGGCGGAGGTGTGGGGATGCGGGCACCGATGCCTACACAAGACTTCTTCTTTTTATAACGAGTTTTTGATATCCACATGGCGGAATGTTTGGGATCTTAAGTTGAGGTTCATGAAATACGAGAGAAAAAGTTCATGGGTTTGGGTTTCCTTGCTTCTCTTTGTTTCTACGCTTCTCGCGCTGGGATAATTATATATTCCCAAAGCCCCTCCCCTTGATATTATACCTGGCACATATAAATTGGTTTAGTGCCGCTACTCTGTTTTTTAAGCTATCGTCGATAACAAATATCAAGATCTATGGCTTACTACTTCGTCTCCATGTCATTAATTGATGCTCTGCAGTGTGCGTGTATCATAAATCTATGTAAAATAACACCACGTTGCCAAACCTCACCATGTCCACATCTGAACGTTTGAACTGACGTCCAAAGTTCAAAGTTCACAACGGTCCACGAGGAGTTCACGCACGAAGGAGTATCCCTGAGCATCGACGGGCTTGGTCTGGTTTAAGGGATCGCCACTACCCCGCAATGCATCGTGCCGATCCGGAGGGGGAGCTGCCTCGCTATCGTATACCGTCGTCCGTGTGTTTCTAGTGGCGAACTCGAGGGGTGCTTGGGATTCGTGAGTACGAGTACTCGTGGGTACTCGTACAAGCACGCGTATAAAAATCCGACTTTTTTATTCTACTCTATTGAGAGTATGTTCGAGTTTGGAAATGCGGGGTTTAGGATTTACAAATGAGGCGCGGTTTTCCTTTTGGCTGGTGGTTTTATTATGTGGTTTGGGTAATCTAGTTTCCTAGAGTCGTCGAGGAGAAACTACTGATACCTCGTGTTCCACGTGAGACTCTTATTCTGAGATTGTGGTTTGGGTCGAGTTTTCTTCTTTCTTGTTTATAGGTGGTCTTTCTCAATCTCAGGATTAAAACCTCTCGCTTAGGGTATTGTATAAGATGTTTTATTATATATCGTGCTTTTGAACTAGTTTAACCGTTACCGCGGTTCGACCGTGGTTCGACCAGGCCCTATAGAAGGTGAGTCCTTCAAGCTATATCACTTCCAAAGTCGTTTCTCTCCTAATACCAAGTTTTTCGCAAAGTAAGATTCTCCTTAACAACGCTCGGCAACTAGAATTCCTTTCTATTCTAGACCCCCCCTCTAGAATAATTCCATTCTATTTAAAGAGTCGCTAGAATTATTCTATTCTAGACCCCCTTATTCTATAAAATATATAGAATTTCTAGATGGAACTTATTACATGACCCGGAAGAATATGGCCCCGACCCGGCTAACTAATAGGAAGCTTTAGACTGCCCCAATTATACCCTATTTAAATATCTTACGTAAAAGCTCCCTTTCTCGTAATATATAGAATCTCTATATTATCTATAGTCAATTGCGGTACTAGCTCTTCTATCTAATCTAGCTATTTACTTAAATATGTTTATAATAAATTTACTATTATTTACTTAAAAGTACTACTAAATCCTAGGTTTTGATTAATTAGAAAATACTCTGGAATTCTATAGAACTCCTGGAATTCTAGAGGCTAATTATTAGAAGTATTCTGTCGGTATATAATTCTGGTGAATAGCACCTTGTACGAGAGCCTGGTAGACCTATATACTTTAGGTCATGTGAGTGGCTTGATACTCACATACTTAAGTCTGTAGAGTACCACCTCTCTTTACCTTTACTCTTCATACACGAATGAATACAAAGAGAGATTATGTTTGTGTATCACCCTTTACGACAACCAGGTCGTACCAACATATTCCATTCTATTTTATAGGTGCTCTAGAAGTATTCTATATAGAATATTCTACCTGGAATTCCATGGAATATGGTTCCATCTGCCGAGCGTTGCTCCTTAAACCTGGGTTCTATTACCTTAACCTGGAAGTCTAAGACTTATCTTTCTTTGGATCGGAGATTCTTTTCTTACGAGATATATTTATTTATTTCTACTTAACGTCAAGCGGATTCTAGCTCGCGTGGGCTAGGTCCTAAAGAGTCCCAAAATAGGGCAAATGACGCTAGGGGGGTGCCCTAGGCTACAGGGGGTGTAAACGGAAAGAGCTAATTAACAAGAGACAGTTTAGAGAGAAGCTCCACTTTCGGAACAGCTCTTATCCTTAATTAGTTCTAGAACCAGGGTAACAACAAAGGAGATATTTAATAAAAGGAAAAAAGAAAAGAGAAATAAAAGAAGGCCTGTCTATCTAGAGAGAAGGATTTTAGTGTAGAATTCGGTCTTAAAGTAGACCTGGCTAAAAAGCTCCTCGCAGTGAGATCCAAAGAGCAGTTCAGGGTTCTTCTCAGCCTTTGCTAATAGCTTAGGGGCTTTGTTGTTTGCTAGCTTGCAAAAGAGTAGGTGGAACTGGGTCTTGGCCTTCCTACACTTACAGTTCCCTGAATTGAGTAGCGCGTCGAAGTGAAAGAAGCGAAGATGGTAGGCAGTAAAGTCTCCGTGTCCAGAACGAGCAGCGATTAAGCGAGCGAGGACCTCTCTTGGTAACTGGAGAGACTTGGGCTTCAAGAACCAG